CCGATAATACTTAGTTAAATTAGTAGTGGTCACTTTTATCTATTGCCTTCACCTCTCAATGGATGATGGACATTGTTACAAATAATAACATTCTAAAAAATAAAAGAAAATTCTACACAGACGTACAACTAAAGAACTGGCCATTTTGTCACCCTGCTGTTCTATCTTGTCCGGGCTTCTCTACATTCATGTCACAAGAAATATGTTTATTACTATTATATTAATATTAGTATTATTATTTAACCTTGGCAATAAATTTGAAAAAATATATATATTATCGGCAATAAACTCACACTGCGAAATTTAAAACCATCGGTTTTTAGGTTACTATTCATGTCTCTATCAGGGTTTTAATACTTTTTCTTTTCTTTTCTTTTCTTTTTTTTTTTCTTTCATTTTAAGGCTCCATTTGTTTGGATGTAAAATATTTTTTTATTTTTTGGTGTTTAGTTGTCGTAAAATAGTTAGTAAGTAAAAAAATATTAAAATTTAACAAAAATAATTTATCCACCAATTTTCGGCAAGTTATTTTACGTGTCCCGCTTGATGGACAAGACCTCAATCTCATTGTAGACTTTTGACAAATACCGAAAAAGTAAAAATAAAATAATATTTTACCAAAAAATAATAAAAAATTCAAAAAAATATATTTTATGTCCAAACAAGCGGCGCGAGAGTGTCCCAATCCGATTAGTCGGATATGGATTGAATAAAAAAACCGATAACCCGATTACGATCCGAATCCGATAATCCGTTAGCTTAACAAATCGAATATGGATTATGCTGATCTCATCTGATAAAAATTCGATTCGATCTGATTAAAATTATATATATAAATAATTATTTATCAATAATTTTACATATTTATATCAATACCCCTGTTAAAATTGTATTAGAGGTAATCCAAAATTTAAAAAAAAAAAAAAATCATAATATAATATATATAATAATATGGTATTCTCATACTAATAAATCTCTTAATATGATGTTCTCATTAATAATGTTATATACATATGAGGATTGCTATTTCTCCAGGCTACATAAAAACCTATAAAATACGACTCCTACGTGGTTGTTACTGAATGAGCCAACTGTTCACAAGAATTGTAAAAAAACAAAAAATTCTCTCTCCACCGAAGCAATCATGCATCCTCTCTCTCTCCCATTCCAGAGAATGTGGTTCGATTGCCATAGAGTTCATGAACTTGTTACAACATCCCAAGAGTTGCTACTTGATTTTTTTTTCTTTTCTAATGCATAAAATCAAACTGAAATTAATAGGAAATATCACTAATGAATCAAAAAAGAACCCACCAACAATGAATCAAACCCACCAACAATGAATCAAAAAAGAAGAGAGAGACGCTCTCAAGTTCAGACGAACCCAACTGAGAAGCTCCATAAACGGTGGAGCTTGGGATACGCCGGCGGCGCAATTAGCGAGGAAGCAAGGATGATCAGCGGGCAAAGAACCAGGAACTGCGGCGACTGGTCCGGAGGTGGATGATGTTCGGTGGTGAAGCAGCGGTGAAAGACGGAAACAAAGACGGAGATGTGGACCGATTGCAATGGCGAACAACTCTGCATCGGCGATTGGGTTGAGTGAACAGCGATTGGTATTCCGAGATTTGTAAATGGTTCCCATTTTCCCTTTTCTTTGGATTTTGTACATATTTATATATGTGTGTGTGTATATATATATATATAAGACCATGGTCGGTGTCCCATGGGTTCTTGGAATTGCAGTAAATGAAATTAAAATTCCATAATTTTGGCTAGATTAGCATTTGGATTTTCAGTCTAATTCAGATATCTTTCATTTATAAACAAAAATTTGGGGAAAAACAGAGATGTATGATATTGAAATAAGGGTAAATTTTATCCTGTTTTTTAAACAAAGGAATTTACCGGAAAAAAAAAAAAAAAAAAAAAAATTCAAAAGCTGCGATTTAAAAAACCATGGGAATTGCAGAACAGTTTCTCAAAGCAAGGCCAACAGAATTTCACTCATCGAGGATATTGAACAACCACTCCGGCGCTCGCTTCCGATCGCCACCACGTCGGCAAAATTCAAAAGCGAGAAGGTGGAGCCTCTACGTACCACCATGAAGGAGACATCGGCAACGATGGAGAGGGCGAAGAAGATGAGAGAGAACTCAGAGAATACAGATATTGAAGAGAAGGGTAAAAACACGACGACTAATCAACGCCTGACACCTGTTTGGTCTGTTTTTCTGAACAATAGTCGTCAAAATTAGCATTTTCCTATATATATTAGTTATATATTACTAAATTTATATATATTAATTATTTATTATTATATTCATTTAGTTGCATAGTGATATTATGTATCATTCTGAATATTAGTAATTCTCCACTTCATCTAACTTTATAATTATATATGTTAGTAGATATGATTTTAATCCAAATTTGAATCCGTTTCGATCCGAATCCGAGCTAAATAGAATATAGATTGGGACATTCAGTCCGAGAACTCGTTAGGGATCCGAATTCAATAATTCGTTTGCTTAACAAATTAAATATAGATTTAATCGATCCAATTCGAATTCGATCCATTGACAGACCTAGATGGGAGAATTTGTATTACCGGCGCCCTTACCAGGTAACTTCATATTTATGCAACGGACTAAAAAATCTTAACCTACACTCAGCTGAGAGGCTCAAGCCCCAACCCATATATTGTCCATCTTAAATACTGTGTTGATTGGAGTTCTTGATTGGAGTTCTGAACATTTAATCATAAGTAATAACACTATTTTTTGTTTTCTATGGTCCTCTCTTTTTTATGATCAAGATAGTTCTAGACATTTATCATTTCTTTTCCATCTCAAATGTTAAAAGTCTTTTGTAATATTTCTCTTAATTTGTTTGCCAAAAATTTTTACGTTGTTTTAAGATTGCTTTGTTGGTTTTTTTCTTCTTTTTTTTAAAAAATAAAAAATTGTTCTTTATATATACATATATTTCTAGTTTTACATTTTTGTGAAATGGAAAATTGTGATGTAAGCGGAAGCGATAAATTTATTCACGAGTTACTTTAAATCCACAAAGTAAGGTATATTGAATCTACAAAATAAGAAATAAATTATGATAAATTTGATATTTTATTAAATAATTGAATGAATAAAAATTTAATTCTGCACTTGTAGCACGCATATTGATGATTAAAGGAATCATAGTACTAGGATGATTAACCATAAAGAAATTAACCTAATAGCAAAAAAAAAAAATTTAAATTCCTAAAAGAAACTAATTAAAACTAATCTTCTTATAAAGAATATAAAAATAAAATAAATAAGAAATCTAAGCTAAAAAATTACTAAATACTTAAAGTGTCCTACATCAAGTTCAATATATTTTAATTTTGTGATAATTTCACATAATTGTTTGTAAATATGCTCCATGCATGGAGACCCATATGCTTATTCTTTGTTCTGGACGGTGAGACCATTATTCTTGCCTGTCCAAGGGTCTGTTGTTTTGTTAAAGATCTATGAATATTTGAATATTGTTGTGGCGACTTTGTGGGCGGGTGTATGTGAGCGTGTGCAAGGGGTACCAGTAGGCTACCACACTGGGCGAGCTACAGGTGCACAATCCCACATTATCTGGGTGTGGATGGGGCAAATGCTATATGTAGATTCAACACCCTTTTATGACACAACGCGTTTTAAAGCCGTGATGACCGTGAACCCATCAGAACTCTGTAGTGAAGCGTGCTTAACTTGGAGTAGTATCAGGATGGGTGATCCCCTGGGAAGTCTCTGGTCTGGGTAAGCCAAAAGCGGACAATATTGTGTCTGGCCTGGGAAGTCTCTGGTTTGGGTGAGCCAAAAGCGGACAATATTGTGTCTGGCCAGGGTGAGGGTCGTGACAAATGGTATCAGAGCCTGACCCAGCCGGAAGTGTGGCCAACGAGTACGTTGGGCCAGGGTGAGGGTCGTGACAAATGGTATCAGAGCCTGACCCAGCCGGAAGTGTGGCCAACGAGTACGTTGGGCCCTAAAGGGGGTGATTGTGGCGACCTTGTGGGCGGGTGTGTGTGAACGTGTGCAGGAGGCACCAGTAGGCTACCATACTGGGCGAGCTACAGGTGCACAATCCTATATCGTCTGGGTGTGGATGGGGCAAGTGCTATATGTAGTTAAGCGTGCTTAACTTGGAGTAGTACCAGGATGGATGACCCCCTGGGAAGTCTCTGGTCTGGGTGAGCCAAAAACGGACAATATTATGTCTGGCCAGGGTGAGGGTCGTTACAATTGTCTACTTCAATTTTTCTTGTTAGTATGATCTTACCATTTAATTGAGGTATACAAGACTAAGGTTATGGTTTTGAAATTGAGCAGAATAAAAAAATAATATTCATAAAGCCGACCACAAGGAGTTGGATAAAAGAGTTGATGTCTTGCAATCAAAAGGTAAAATTGTGAAAAAAATTTGTCAGTCTTTGTTGTTTGATAGAGTAGGGTTTGTTACATTGATTTTTTTTATGATCTACATCTGGTGGATTTTTCTGTGCTATGATAGAAATTTCGTCTCTTGCCAATATTAACTTTTTTACAATCTTTTTTTTTTTAATTATTAAATTATCTTTAGGCATGATATACGTTTCATTCATGTTGGAGAGAGTTTTCTGTAAGCAATTAGATTCTGTGAAAAGAATTACGTGGCTTGTTAAACGGTAAGGACATGAAAAAATTCACAATTTTCTTTTTTTTTCTGGGGGATTTTAAGAAAATGCATAAATGTTTTGCATACTTTCTTTGCAGTGTGTCTTGTTGTGCTTAGATGCTGTACAATGTTGTTAATTTTTTCCTTAATGCTATACATTCCGATTATTACTATCTGAATATCATCCCTTGTTTTTTTCCTAGTTAATATCATCCCTTTTAACTATACATGTTCGTTAAAATGTTTCATTTTTTAAAATTTCTTCTTATCATTTCTTTGGTTTTTGAATATCCTTGGTGCCTGGAAACTGTAATTGATACATGAGGTGGAATTTTATGACAGCTGGATTAACTTAATTTTGGATAATGAGACTGGTTTGTCTTCAAATATACCTTTTAATTATATGAATGAAAACATTAAAATGAGGGTAAAGATGTCTTTTCAAATTTATTTAACCGTTTAAACAAATCAGGAATAAATTAAAACATTTAAGGCATCATAAAAACCAAAAAAATAAAAAATAAAAAAAAGATTAAGAGGAACTAAAATGGGCTTGTGTTTCAGCCTTGCTAAAATAAGCTGTCAAGTTTCACCATAACTGCATGACCATGCTCAAAAAAAATGAAATTAACCTACACGAGCTCCATTGAAAAATTAAAACGAATTGCTACTGCTTATAATGTAGTTGGAGTAGTGAGAATAACATCAAAGTCACTCAGAGTCCATTCTGCCATTTCATGCTTATCAGTAATATAAATTTCAGTTCCCGTATCCAGAGATGTCCATATTCTTCTAGCTGGAGGGGTACCTGGATCCTGCACACACACAAACACACACACATAAGCACACACATATAATCAATTCTGTAAATTAAAATAATGAATGAATTAAGGAGGCAGCTAGCAGACCTGATAGAAGTAGAGTCTGCTTGAAAGACCACCAACATCAAGCTCCCAAGTTCTTGCATCCCCAATCCAACCATCTCCTAGTTTAGTTGGATAGCCATAGTCTGCCCATATCGGGTGAGGCAGCAACTGAACAATCTGTTGTGCCTGAGGATTGCTGTAAGGATCACAAATTTCGTAAGGGCTTTCCAAGTAGTCTGCATTTGCATTTCCAGGAGCACAGTAATAGTGATAGGCCGAGTAAGGGAAGTTGGCTGTATCATTCCTATGGATTTTGGTGTTGTTTGGTGTGATATGGAACGGTGGGCATTTCCCCAATGCCGTGGCGCTGCACGTTGCCGGAGTTTCAGGGTTGATGATCATCTCGCTGTATCTGGTCACGTCGGTAGTCACGTCGCCATCGCAGGGAGCACCATTATTCTTCCAGCAGCTCCCCATATCTATGAGGTAGAATTGGCTCTTAGATCCTCCCCCTTGCTTCACATCCAAAGTGAGTCTCACCTTAAAATTAGGTGACTCTGGAAGCTAATTAAAAAAAGAAAATAAAAGATTAGTTAGTTGTTACGGTTGCACTTTGAAATCTAACCTCTATATGTGCGCAAAGTTCTAACCTGGTCCTAGTATTATATATATAACATCTATCTGTAATCCAAAAAAAAGAGATACAAAGGAATGAAAATACTCGATCACTTAGATAACTTTATTATTTAGACACCCCAATTGTGCACCCTAATTCCCTTCGGATATTGGGAATGAAAATTGGAAATACAGTTGAACAGAACTATAATAATAGAAAGTCCGACATGACTGATGTGATTATGATATCATAAATATTAATAACAAAATCAGCCAGTTAGATGCATGTGGCCGGATTCCACATCATTATTCATAAATTAATGGTATGGCATGCACTTACTGTTTTGAGCATTCCTCTAGTGTCATAGTGGTAGCCTCCGGAGAAGCCTTTGGTGGCATCAGCTCTGAGGTACAACATGAGCCATGGATAGGATTTTGAGGTCTTGAGTTTGTGGTGGAAAACCCAACTCCCAACACCAACTTTCTTCTCCCACTGAACCTCATAATAAGATATGTTGTCGATGCCACGACGAATATCGAAGTCCAGATCGTAGGTACCAATGAAACCTCCTCTCATTGTACCATCCCTTGATAAGGCTGTCTGTTCATGGTACAAGAGGGGTTGATTCATGCACCCTTCTCCGGAGCAAGGAAATCTTCCGCGCTTAAAAGGGGCCGATTTTTTACCATTCTCTGGACATAAACTAGACAAGGAGTCGTAGTTGCCGTTTTTAAGCATCACCATCCAGAAATGCCATGGTTCCGGTGTGTCTGCAACTTCACATAAAGAACCTAGATGGCGCTCCTTCTCGGCCGCGTAAAGGTCTGGATTGCCCAGAGCTTGTAAACTCACACCAGGAAATGGCTTCCCAACTCCAAGTCTGTTGTGATACTCTAGCACTTTGTGAATCAGAAATCCCTCTGCCCATTATAACATAAATAATAGAGTTAGAAATTTGTAATTCATTAGTTAAGGACGTGTTTGGTTGTTTTTGTTTTTTGTTTTTGGCGGGTAAAAAAATAGAAGATCAAAAACAAATTATATTTGAACTTACTTAAGAAAGAGAGATCAAAACAATCGGCAGCTCTTGGGCTGCCCATCCAAGGGGCTTCTTTGCCAACTTCATTGCAGAAGTTCCAAGCTTCAAAGGCCACTCTCAGTCCATCTCTCTTCATTCCAGGGTCTCCCACTGCTGACATGTTTGCCTTACCTTTGGCAGACCAAACACAAAACACATTCACAGTTATTAATAATAGTAACATAATAGTAATTTGTTTCTCCATGGTTGTTCTTCACGAGAGGAACAAAAACTATGTGGGTTGAAGATGATGTTTGGCCTATCTGTCTCTGTGTACATATATATATAGCGATGTAATTCGCGCTTTTTACTGTTGGGAGGACTCTAGTAGATTAAGTCTATCCGAATTAATAGTGTTCTCTACTACAAATTCTCCTTTTAGTTATTACCACTTACCTATACTCCTAATTTTCCTAAATTATTTATGACGAGGTCTATTGTTTGGCCAACTTCAAGTAACTTTAAATATATATTCCTTTAATATATATAGAATTCTATCTATATATATTCTCTTACCGTTAAGTTTTATCCGATTAAATTGTGTTGTATATAGTGATTGTATAAGTTTCCCACTGTACACTCCTAATCACTCCATATTGCATCAAAGATAAGTTTTATCAGTGTTGCAATTATTAAGGATCTCGATCTCATCTGTATTAAAACAATCTTCAACTAATAAATAATCCACTCTGCACCTCATCTAATAAACGTGGGGGTAACAAATACACACTCTTTATGTATCAATCGAAAAAAAACCGCCTAATTGGTTGATTGAAATTAACTGACACTATTTCAGATGGTATAAGTTTTTCTTCTCAAATAAAGAGATTTGAGTGTTCCAATCTTGATGGAGATATTGTAAATCTTTCCCATCTCTCCTTTACATTTTTTAAAATACTCCACGTACAGTAGTCCACCATTTTCTCTTGTTTTTTCACTCTATATTGTCCCACATTTATAATAATCTAAGAAGTACAGACATGACTAAATGGTCAAAGGATCTATGTGAAACAAGTTGGACGTGCTTGACCGTGGATAAGCCAAAAAAATTACTGTTATATTTATTACTTTATTTTATAAAAAAATCTTTTTTTATATATTTTTTATTCTTCATTAGCATCTCTAAAAAAAATTTCTAGTCCGACCATTTTTAACCACTTTACCTAATTAATGGAGGATGGAGTGATGGACACATAAATGGCTTACGTTAGTTCTCCAAAAAAAAAAAAATCTCCAAAATTTCCCCAATATATATATATATATATAAAAGGTTCTATACATTCTAAAAGATAATAGGAAAATTTGTACTAATCTAATGCATTTAACACAAATCTAGAACCAACTTCTCTTGCCATACATCACATCACCCACATGCTCGAGACACCCAATGGGCCAATATATTGCTTAATAACCAACAACCTTGACCAATATCGAGTCGGCTCTTGGGCCTAATTGAGTTGGCTTTGGGCTTTTATTCGGGTCTCAAGTGGATCTATAAACTGGGAAACTACACGTCAGATGAGTTAAATAATTTATTTTAAAATTTTAATTTTCATTTAGATTAAAATAGGTAACAATTACACAAGAATTACTGTTGAAGAATCTTTCATGTTTAAAATAGAGCGGCAACTCGGGCGAGCCCAGCCTGAAATTTTGTGAGTTTGGACAATGTTTTTTCTAATTTCGGTTTGGGGCTAGACTATATATTTTGAGCCAGAATTCAATCCAGATTGGGCTTGCGTTGATTTGGATAAAGTCCGAAGCCCAACCTGAGCCCAAAAATATTATATATATATTTATAATTATACTTAAGGCATAAGAGTGTGGTAGCTAAGTTGATAGTGTGTTTGAGATTTATACTTAAGATTTCAAGTTCAAGTCATGGGTGTAGCATTAATTGATTTATTTTTGACACACAAATTCTTTTAAGGTGGGCTTGGGCTGAAAATTTTCTATATGGGCCTAGCCCGAGATGAGTGCTAAGCCCACCCAACCCGCCCGAGTTGCAGTCCTAGTTTAAAATGCCTTTAAACTCTAATTTGTAAATTATCCAACTATCCTAGAACCAAATCATTTTCTCACGGTTCTATTGATTTCATAGTTCGGTTCGGTTCTAATTTTTATAGAACCATTAAGAACGATTTGGTTTCCAAAATATTTTCAAACTGGTCCAATCCAAACCCCTAAAAAGAAAAACCAATTTTATTTAAACATGGGTATACCTGTTCATTCCAAGTTCACAAAAGCATCAATTAAATCATCAATAAAAATATTAAAAAGCAATAATATTAGATAATACCTCCTCAGGAGATTCAGAGTTCACATCCTCTCAAGGCTCTCATTTGTGCATTTCATGTGTGCGCACGTAATGAAAGATGTATATGTGCGTGTATCCAATATAAGAGGGTAAAATGATCATTTCAAGATGGAAGTTGATCTCAATTTTTTGTAAATTATTTTCAACCATCTACTTGGGTTGTAGCTAGGGCCGAGAAAGCAAAACCGTATCTTATTTAAACATGGGTTTAACTTGTTATCCAAAGTTCACAAAGGCATAAATTAGATCATCAATAAAAATATTAAAAAGCAATACTATCAGAGAATTCACATAGAAGGTAGAAACCCATAAATATATATATATATATTGTAGCTAGGGCCGAGAAATCAAAACGGTATCTTATTTAAACATGGGTTTAACTTGTTATCCAAAGTTCACAAAGGCATAAATTAGATCATCAATAAAAATATTAAAAAGCAATACTATCAGAGAATTCACATAGAAGGTAGAAACCCATAAATATATATATGTATATGGGTTTCTACCTTCTATGTGAATTCTCTGAAATATATATATATATTTATGGGTTTCTACCTTCTATGTGAATTCTCTGATAGTATTGCTTTTTAATATTTTTATTGATGATCTAATTTATGCCTTTGTGAACTTTGGATAACAAGTTAAACCCATGTTTAAATAAGATACGGTATATATATAATAAATGAAAAAAAAAAAAATTGTAGGCTATGCAACAACCACCAAAATGATCAGAACTTACAAAAGCGAAGCCTAAATAGTCTTCCACATAGAGAGAAATAAACTGAAAAAGTCGAGGCTTTCTTCCAAACATCAATTGCTTTTCAGAATAGCAGACAATTCACACAAAAGGCTAGAAACACGTCAGAAAAAGAATATAATAAATTATAAATTTGTGGGGGATTACTAGAGTGAGAAAAGGAGAGAATAAGAGAGTTGAGAATGGAGTCCAACTATAAAACAGCAAACAGAACTTAGAAAACTGCCAACACCTCCTCCTCCTCCTCCTCCTCCAGACCCTTAGGGCACAAACTCCAGACCCTTGGGGCACAAAGTATATTTTTGCTCTTAATTGGGAAAATCTCTGGAGTATAATATTTCCATATACAACCATGTGGCCACATATAAAATTAAGGGTTGTACTAGAGAGCAATTGTACAGATCATCGAGGAGAGTGGGATTAAAAGCCGAAAGATGTTAATTGATTTCTATGATTTGATATTGTGGGTATGTGCTACGTTGGTGTCGAGTACATACATGGGTACATTGTGTTGCATTGGAGTTGCATACATGGTGTTATTCTGATATATCTAAAGTTTCCACACATACTTTTACTTTGAATATATCAGATAGTATTTGACACGGTCATCTTATTAACAATAAAGTAAGCCTTACTTAAATGAATGTGAATTCAAACTCCAAAATGAAAAGTCCGGTTTGGGAGTCATTGACCTAACGTTCGACCTCATGAATCTTCTATAGAGTTTAAGAGATCACAACATTGTACTATGCTTCCATCTTTGATCCTACGAGTGGCTTTATGTTGTTACTCACGCACGTAATAGAGACATTTTTCAGATACAGGAATCAAGATTCGGGATTTACACAATGCCTTAGAAGTTTCGTAAACTTGAAGTATTCAATTCATGCAAATGTTACTTGTTTCCGAGATTTCGATAGCTAAACCCCAAATGGTGGGATGAGTGGTAGCTTTATTGTTGTCTTTGTTAGCCTTGTTAAAATGTTTTAGGAGCTATTAAGTTTGTACTATCCGTTAAGAAGAAATATGACACTTACGCGTTCATATGAACTAGAAGCAATGTAAGTCTGCTATGAGGAACTAAGAAACTTACGTAAGCAATGTAAGTCTGCTAAGAGGAACTAAGAAACTTACGTGATGCAGCAATAACGATACTTAAACTAAACAGTAATACTGTCCTCGAGCTCATCTATGATAACTCATGACTCGCCTCATATTTATTATCAAAGAAAGTGAAACATGTACAGCGAAATTATCTAACGATTGAATACTTCTTTCAACAAACGTCTCCAAGAACTCTGGGGATTACAAATAAATGTAAAACCTAAGAAAAATACTTTTGTCCTCCTCCAGTCTAGGGTCTAGGGTAATCTATCAAGGGGAAAATTGTGCAGACAACACTACATTAATTATGGATTATTAATAATGTAGGAGTAATTATAGAAACAATTTATTATTGTTCATAGACCATCCATGCAGGAGCATAAGCAAACCCATCCACATGAAATAGACTACACACAATCTCAAAAGAAAAAGCAGACAGCAAACTCCATAAAGGAGAGACCAGGTGCAAGCAAACAATGAAAACAATAGAAATGGAAAGAAATAAACAAAGAAAGGGAATGAAAAAAAGAAAGAAAAAAAAAAAGCCAAAAATTGCAGTAACTCCACAAAGAAAAACGGAACAGAAAAAAAGGATCAGAAGCTTCTCACAAGATTATATCCTCAAAGAAAGTGAAATGTGTATTGTGAATTTGTCAGCTGATCGAATACCACCTCATTCAACAAACGTCACCAAGAACACTGGGTTTTAGAAATAAAAGTAATACAGACAATAAAAATACTTCCGTCCCTCTCCAGTCTAGGGTCATCTATCAATGTGAAAAATGCACAGTAAATAACAAATAAATTATCCATAATTAATCATGTAGGAGTAACTATAGAAATAATTTTTTATTGTTCATAGAACATCCATGCAGGAGTATAAGCTCTGCCCAGAAATCCATCCACATGTATGGACTGCAGCCAATCTCAAAAGCTAATTCAGACGGCAAACTCCATAAAGGAGAGACCTGCTGCAAGTAAACAATAGACAAGGAAAGAAAAGGAAAAAAAAAAACGAGAATGGCTGCAACTCCAAGAAGAAAAAAGGATTAGAAGCTTCTCACAATATTTTATTCTCCAAGGCAAAAATGATGCCTCTTCACGTCACACAGCCAACTCACCAATGCGCACAGCACAGACATGTTCTCAGCTGTTGCACGAGCGCAATAGGAAAGAAAATGGTACATAATCATATAGACAGGTTTGCCAATTGCCATCAAGCTATTGTATCTCGCGTAACCATTCTACTTGGATCCAACTATGTAAAGATATGGCACTAACGTGACTAACCACTACACAGGCAGAGTTGAGTTAAGAAAAAGAACCGTAAGTGAAGACTGAAAAAAGAAAGAAAAGATTAAAAAGAGAACTTTTTTTTTTTTTTCTTTTTATAGTTGGTGACAGTCTAAAATCATCACTAATGTGTAAAAAGGAAAGAGGATAGCCTACAAAAATTAAAAATAAAATAAAAAATAAAACAAAGAAAAAGGGAAAGAGAGGAGTAGGAATTTTTTTTTTTTTTTTTTTTTTTTTTGAATTGGTGGAAGCCTAGAAAATACACTGATGTAAAAGAAAAGCCTAAAAAACAGAACTTCATTTGTATATGTTCTATATATGATTTAAAAGAAACAAAAGCTCTGCAACACTACTGCTAAAGTTAAAAAGAATTATCAGGTTAAAAAGAATTATCAGGTTCGTGAGTAGTCGCTACAGTTACAGGTGCACTAACACTGTCCAAAAATAAAAACAGAAAAGAAAAAATGATCCCACTTCTTTTACCATTAAATACATTCAGATCAATGGCAAAACCCATAAACAAACGGGACTGCAGAAAGACCCATGACGACCATCCAACAGTTCTTGTGCAATATATAGCAGCAAAGGGAAAAGAAAAATATAATATAATCTATCATCTTCGAATCCTGAGAGAGAGAGAAAAGAAAGAAAAGAAATGATATTATTAGTTTCTTTTTTTTTTTAATCTTCCCTATGTTTCCCGGGCTTCTAGTTACTTACAGGCATCTATTATGATAATGACTCGAGAATCAAAAACTCATAATTGGTATTTTGCAAAAAAAACTCATGAATCAAAAACTCTTAAGTTGTATTATTCTATCCTCATACCTTGCAAAAATGGATTGTTGATATGCCAAACATCAATATTGACCAAAGCTAACAGCTCATATGACAGCATGCCCTAGCAAAGAAAGAGAAGAGCCTATAGAGATATACAGGGATGATAGATCAAAAAACACACAACAAAAAACAGAAGGTGTGAAAGGAAAGAAAGAAAATGTGACAAAAGACTCTGGCTAATCCTCGTTATGCATTCCAAAGTAGAACATGTATATGACAAATACAGTCTGGAAAAATCAATGATGTGTAAGAGGAGAGATTTCAAAATAGAACATCAATTTTGTGTGTGTGTGTGTGTGTGTGTGTGTGTGTATTTGTTCAGATGCATATAATTTAACAGAAACAAGAGCAGTACAACGCCATCAAAGAAGGGTACACCGTCCAACCAAAAACAAGAAAGTAAAACTAGGAAAATACACAGTCCATGTGAGAGGAACATGTATAAAAAAATAAAAAATAAAGAAACGACCCCACTGTGCCTTTCAAACTATTAAATAAGTTAAGATCAACAGCTGGCAAGACCTGAAAGAAACAAGACTGCAGAAGTACCTATCAAGGACCATTCAAGACTTAGCCAGATATAGCAGCAAATACCCAAATATTTAATCAAATTCTTACAATCAAGATAAAATAAATAAATGAAAACTGTAATGATCGGCAAATAGGAAAGAAGACATTTCTTCACTTGAAAGGCAAGAATATTAAATGAATTAGTCATCATGACAGGAGAAATAAAATGAAAACGCAGCGGAGACAGGATTTGAACCCGTAATCTCAAGGTGATGACCTTGCAAGCTACCAAATTGCTCTACTCCGCACTAAAGAGAAGAACTGAGAACTAATAGACAAACAAGGATTAAATTTAGCCCTGAAATCCATGAAATTTAAAATTCTCAAAATCAATCATTGGAATCCAATATAAACTAGTTTTCCCTCTGAAACCCAAGTTGCCTACAGTATAGTGATAATAAACACAATTGCCAATAATAAAATAACAAATAGATATCAAACACAGTATAAAGAATCAAAATTTGTTATAACTGTCAATGAGAAAATCTTTTTCATAATCTCATTCACCTATAATGGAAAAATTGGAATATCAATTTCAAATTCGTTTGAAAATTTCCCATACACACACCATTGGAAGAACTAACTATACAAACATGATAAATTACCACTAACAATTCAAATTAGATAAATTCAAAAAATCAACGGAAAAATCTTAAGTAATCGCAGTGCCGACTTTACAATTGATACAGAGAGAAGGGACTGCGTATGTGTGTGTGTGTATAGCTGTTTATATAGATATAGAGAAAAAGGGAAAAACTGACCCAGCCTCGCTGGTCTGCTTCATTGTGAATGTCGGTTTCCAATGGTAATTAGCGTTAGGGAGTTGCAATTAGTGTGTTGTTTATAGTTGTAATTAGGGTTAGGGTTAGGGTTTAGAGTTGTGGTTAGGGTTAGGGGTAGGAAGAGTATTGAAGAGTTAGGGTAGGGTTTGTATTCAGATTTGTGTGCGTATATATATATACAGGTGTCTATATAGATATAGAGAGAAAAAGGGGAAAACTGACCAAACCTTGCTGTGCGTCTGCTTCATGATGAATGTCGATTTCCAATGTCGTTTTGCAGTGGCAATTAGCAATTAGCAATTAGCAATTAGCAATTAGCGTTAAGTAGTTGCAATAAGCGCGACGTTTAGAGTTGTGGTTAGGGTTAGGGTTAGGGTTAGGGTTTCAGGCTTTTGAAGACAAGGAAGAAATCTGAACGATTGGGTCTGTGGAACGTGACGATGCGTTTGGAGGTGAGAGAATAACAAATTGCGCCGGTGGAAGAGATGAGGGAGAAGCTGCGGCGGCAATGGCCATTCAAGCGAGGGCTAAGAAGAAAGGAGATTGATGAGGAGAAGTGAGTGCGTCCCTGCCCGACAACAATATGCTAAGTAAGGGCCTTACTAGTCGCTGCTAGCTTAACCTAAGATAAAAATTACTAGAATCCAATACCGTATTTATATATGATCTGTTGCTTTCTTTTTAAGCTAACATTTGCTGATTTTTTAAGCTAACATGGTACTTTAGTGAAAAAAGTAATACGAGTAGTTAAATATAAAAAGATTTGAATTTTTTTTTTAACCCTGAATTTTTTTTTTCCCGTCTAATGCATATTATATCAGTATCCGACTTCGTCACTCTAATTTTTTGTTATTATATTTAATTTTTCGAATTCATTTAAAAATTGATTTTACACACATATTATTTAAATTTTATCCTTTTATTATATTTAATTTTTTAAAATCATTATAAAATTGATTTTGCAGTCAGGGTACATAAAAAAGATTAAAATAACAATAATAATAATCTATACGATTTAGAAAAGTGTAAGAATTTTTTATATTAAAATAAAATAATGGTAATGTAAGACGCCCCTAACACCAAATCTTAATCCATTTTTAAAAATGTTGATTCCCCTCTATCATCACCACCATTTGTGCCATCGTATTATGAAATTCTGTGGTGAAATTTTTATAAGAATACCATAAAATAATATATTTCCTAAACCAATATAATCTAAACTTTTCTGATATGGTTTGCCTCGCCCACATATGCCCCGATTTGGGTTCAAACACAAAGTTTAACACAAACCTTGCAATTTGGTTCGATTTTGTAACTTGGTTTTTAGAATTACGAAATGATTAGAATAGTTCAATTTACGGTATACCAATCCATATCGACTCATCATATTTATACAAAATTACAAATTGATTGTTTTTAAAATAAAAAATAAATAAAAATAAAAAACGAAAACACTCATTTACAAAAACATATTACTAAAGTTATAAGAATTTTAAATTACAATACTACTACATATTATTAAACAAATTCATTATTAGCGATTTCTCATTCTCTTCTAACAAACAAAATTAGGTTACGTTATTCTCATTTCTACTGTCAAACCTAACTGAAAAAAAAAAAAAAGAAGAAGAAAAAAAAAAAAAAAAGAAGCTATGGTGGCATATTACAACACAACACGGATTAAAAGGGTTTGGGTTTGGGTCATAAAGGTGTAAACACGATTAACCTGTTTACTTAACTGTGTCATGTTATGATTGAGGGGTTCAACCCGTATAACTCGTTTATGATCCATTTTACCCAATATATTATAATCGTAAATATAACCTGTTGATGCCAAAAATCTACACACTCCGGAGTCTGTGACAATTCCTGCAAGACGAGAAGTGATGACCGGCGTGGTGCCGGTCGGGTGCACTCCGACAGTCAAGTTAGTACTCGACGATTAAATATCCGATAAGGATTCAATATGAAATTTATGACGTACCTTTTTAGGTTGACTGATCCTTTTTTTTATAGAAGCATTAATGGTAGTAGTTTTTCAAGCGAGATTCTCCCTGATCCAAGATGATATCGTTCCCTTCTTACAAGAATGGTAACTCTGGTTACATATGGTATTATGATTCCATGATATATCCCTTACTTTTATCTTATTTCTCTTTTAACTTTGAGCTGCCTATTATTTTTATCCTTATCATGACCTATGTATATGTTATTGGTTTAAACCTAATTAGTATAAAAATTTAAGTCATTTCAACATAAACCTTAACTATACCTTATGATTTTTCTTTTTATTTTAACAATTGGGTTAATTATGACAAAAATTTTCTATTATTTTGTATTTGATTAAATATTAAATATCTCGTTTTGATAAACAGGTTATGGGTTAATACGTTTACCTATTTAATAAATGGGCTGGGTTAGTGTTGAGAATTCTTGACACAATTATTAAATGGGTCAAATTTTAATTTGCCTATTTAATATAATATTCTCATATTAATACAACACGAATATGACCCACGAATATGAATTGCCAAGAACTGTATGTTTCATCCATGTCCATCCTCCATCTATTCCAACTATTTTTCTTCCTTCACATAAATCAGGAATATTATTAGACTTATAATTCGAATAATGATATTATGAGATAGATAGACAACTTTGAAAGAATGTCGGACTCTATCACCACTTTTGAAATTCAATCTGATTTACGTTAAGCATAATTAATATTATTATAGAATATTTTAAATAAACGTTAAATCAAAATGATCAAAAATAATTTAGGTGCAATTATGTTTCGTTTTAACTTTTGACAAAACCATTTAAGATCGGATGTAAACCAAAACTGAACCAAATCCAGATCACATGTGCCCTAAGTCTTGAAAATTTTAAATTATCTTTTTATGGCAAGGATATTAGGAGTTAATTGTTAGAAAGGAAGTGAAGGATGAAACCTTAAACATGAACTTTTGAACACAAAAACCATTATTCTTAATTAAACAACAGCACTTAGGCTCTGTTTGTTTCGATGTAAAATATTCATTTAGAAAATATATATTTTTTTCAGGTAAAATATTTTTTTATTTTTAATTTCTTGATGTTTGATAAAAGTCTACGTCAAAATTAAGGTTAAGTCCATGGGACGAAACATGTAAAATAATTTATTAAAAATTAATGAATAAATTATTTTTGTTAAATTTTAATATTTTTTTCTTCAGAAATATTTTACGACAATCAAACATTAGAAAATAAAAAAATATTTTACGTCTAAACAAACGGAGCTCGGGGGTAAAATTGGTGTCATTTACATTGTCAAATAAATAAAATAATATATATATAATGTTGTCATTTAAGGAAAAAAAAATAATTTGCTTGGGTGCATTTGGTGAAAAGACGAAAAGACCCAGATGTTTGTCTTCCTTATCTTTCTTCGATAGAGCGAAGAGAGAGCCGTTGGACGAACCTGACCCTTCTTCACAGACCCGTATCGAATTCAGAGGTACTCTTCCTCTGCTTCAACCAGCAATAAACAATCAATTATATACATAACTCTCTGTCGTTCACTTATCTTAACAGCGTTGTTTTAACGTTCTCTCTGTTTGATGTTGCTTCGTGATGTTTGTGGTATTTTCTGTAATTACTTTCCTGATAATGTTTCTTGATTCTGATATAGAATGAATCACTTTTGTCAGTGAGACTTTCTTATTCTTCTTGGGGCTTTTGTAGAATAAATGCTGAATTTATTTTGTGCGCTTTATTACCATTATTGAACGCCATGTGTTTGTATTATTGTTTCATTTGTTTTCAGAATTTCATGCTTGATTGTGAAAATGCGGACCATCATAATTTGATGTCTTATCGCACAATGGTCTTTAATCATTTCATAAAAGTTAAAAATTAAATTTAAGCGGCCATAGTATAGCAACACTTGCTGTATATATGTATATTTATGGGTGTCATATGCAACATCTGGTGCCTAGAAGGCTAGACGATTGTTCAGTCTGTTTATAAGACTTGTCCTGGTGTTTAGACGAGCACTTTTTATGTTTCAAAATGTGTCGGTCTCTTATGTAAAACCCCGGTAGCCCATATTTATTGTTCACATGTAAATGGTTCATTTCTACAGGAATTAAGGGTTAGAGAGAGAGAGAGGCACTCTCTGTGTGAATTTGTTTGGATTAATTTTTTTTTTCCTATAAATGTTAATATTACCATTTCATGTTATTCTTTCATAAAGTTATTTTCTGTAGTGCAGAATGACTGATGGATTTGGCACATTGTGAGTTCTCAAGAAACTTGACTTTTATGTGCAAAGGGCCGTGTGGTTGATTTTGCAGATGGTCAGATTCTCTGTAAGAATTCTCTCGCCTTTGGCTGCTGGGTTTTGGAGATGGATATTCTCATGTCTCCTAGTGAACACGCTAATTTATGGAATGCTGAAGTGAAGGTAGGTTATCTGGCCATAATGCTAATCGGATCCCAAGTAAAATAAAGGATTTTTCATTAGTCAAGTGATTTTGAAATTTCTCTCATGTCACTTTGTTATTAAGAATTATTAATGAGAACAACATAACTGAAGATCTTGTCGAGTATTTGAAATAAATGGTTAGAGGTATATAGCTTCACCCATGAGAGGGAACTAATGTGAACTAGTTGAGAGAATCTATTGATTTACAGTTGCTTATTCAGTATCTATTGCGCAGTTCACCTATTGATGTCATTGTTTTGGCAGGCACCTTATGGGAGAAATTTGAAGTGCAATTATTTTAAAAAAGGAGACATGTGGCTTTCATGTGACATCCATTGGAGGCCCAGAACTGAAGTTTCTCACTCAGCACCTCTTCTTGCAAAGCAAAGTAGAAAAATTGTGATGAGGGATCCGCGGATAAGATTTCATACTAAAAAGCTTCCAGCTCATATCCTGGGGTCCTGGATTGAGGCAACATGCCTTCCCCTAAGGCCTTTCATTTTAGCTCCGGCTAGAGGTATTATTTCTTTGATGGCATTCCCATTCATGCAACTCCATAGTTTAATATGTTGCTGAACACTCAAATGCTTCCAGTGATTTGACAGATGAATACAAGATTGTCAAATGTTTTAAAAGTGATTCTTTGTTGTCAAAGCAATTCTTAAGTGATCTTGCGGTCAACTCTGAGTTTTACTCTAATGATACAGCCACTGAAATTAGTAAGGACTCACATTCTGATATCTTAAATGAGAGAGACCAGCCTATTGAGGAGCCCTGGCTACTCCAATCGTCTCTCCACTCTTTCTATGTTGCACGCTCAAATGCTTCCGGTGGTTCGACTGACGAAGACGAAGTTTTAAGATGCCTTAGTGGAGATCTTAAGTCAATCTCTTTTGATCAATCTGCATTGAAGGCTCAATCCTTCTCGAAATGTGAGGATACAGTTAGTGCTGTTAACATGGTATCTGATCCACATACTTTATCTGAAAAAGATCAGCTTGTCGAAGAGCCCTGGTTACTCCAGTCATCTCTACTTCTTCCCGAGTCTATTGCAAATTCTGATGCGTCCAAGAGTGAAGAGTCTCTTAAAGATGAGGCAGCTCACACAGAGTTTCATGATCAGCATCACCAAGCTACAGAAATTCTGTTGCCTGAAGAAGATGGTAATAGAATTTGCCAGGATAACTCTATTTCAACAGTTATATTGATTAACTCTTCTATATGTACCATGCAAAGAATTGCCGTACTGGAAGATGGCAAACTAGTTGAGCTATTATTGGAACCCGTTAAAAATAATGTGCAGTCCGATAGTGTTTATCTCGGAGTAGTCACAAAACTTGTTCCCCATATGGGCGGTGCATTTGTGAATATTGGGAGTCCTAGACCCTCTCTTATGGACATAAAACACAATAGGGAACCATTTATTTTCCCTCCATTTCGTCGTACTAAGAAAGAAAAAGAAGTAAATGGCTCTGTGTTTGGTATGCTTAGGGAGCATTCAAAAGCTTATGAAAGTGAACACAGTTCACATGATGGTGGAGTTACTGATGAGATTAGGGAGCATGAAATTGAGGATGATTCATATATGCATGATGACTTTCAGGAGGATGATATTGAGGATGACTTTGATGTTCCTGAAGTTCTTAAGGAAAATGTTAATGGCAGTGTAATTGGTTCTAGTATGGTGGAAACTGATTTCGGGTGCTACTTTAATCAGTTAGATCCAAATGCAAATGCTGGCAAAGTCATTCCTGTTGACATGGGGTTTTCTCATGATACAAAACCTTCTGATCTTCAAGACATGAAATATTGTAACGATAAATCCATAGTTGAAAATAAGTGGGCCCAAGTTCGTAAAGGCACCAAAATAGTTGTACAAGTTGTTAAAGAGGGTTTGGGTACGAAGGGCCCCACATTGACTGCCTATCCAAAGTTAAGGAGCAGATTCTGGGTAATTTTTTGTTTTTTTACTCTGACTTCTTTTATTTTGATCTTATTTATCTTTGTTGTCGATCAGAATCCTTTAATATGTTTCTATCATCTCGCTTGCAGCTTTTGATTACTCGTCGCAATAGCATTGGGATTTCAAAGAAAATTTCTGGTGTTGAGCGTACACGTTTGAGAGTCATAGCAAAAACTTTGCAGCCTCCGGGGTTTGGTCTGACTGTAAGGACCGTTGCTGCTGGCCATTCCTTGGACGAATTGCAGAAGGACTTGGAAAGCTTGCTTTCAACTTGGAAAGATATAATGGAACATGCAAAATCTGCCGCTCTTGCTGCAGACGAAAGTGTGGAGGGGGCAATTCCTGTTATGTTGCATAGGGCAATGGGTCAAACACTCTCAGTTGTTCAGGACTGTTTTAATGAGAAGGTGAACACATTCGGATGTAATTAATCCAGTCCTTTATTCGTCTATGCTATACTTAATGTTTTGCAGTAGATTAGAGGTTCCTAACATGTATCTTATTCCCTTACTATGCCTTTTAATTTACTTATTTCTTTGTTCTTTTATATGACTTATCTTCAGGTCAAGAGCATGGTAGTTGATTCTCCAAGAACATATTATGAGGTATGACATTAGCTGGCTATCAGGCACTTTATTCTAGAAAGCATTTTGACACTTCAGATTTTAGATCACTTTGTTAAAAGAAAGGGAGCTGGTTATTACATCGCCATCTGCACATAAGCATGTTGCAAGTGATTGGTGTTGGAGGTGCCGTAGAGGCAGTTCAGGGTAGAAATTTGATAATATTGAATGAACAAAGTATGAAGTTCGTTGAATTGGGTCAGATCAATTGGGTGATAAACATGTTTAGAGTATGGATGAACCTACTTTGGTGGATAAAGCCTCAAATAACAAAATGGCTAATACTAAAATAATTTTCTAGTTTAGACTGATGTCATCAACTGCCACAGCACCACACGAAGGCTGAACACGGAAGCTGAACATGATCATTGTCCAAACCCGCTTGAATTAACTCTTAAACTGAAATGAACAATAATCAGTTGTTGTTTCTCTTAAAATCTTTCCATACAATCTTGATATTTATTTAGACTACAGTTACCATTCAAAATTTACATAGGCTAGTTTCAGAGCATATGTTTTACAACTAACCACTTTGGGTGCTTACCTGCTTCTTCTGAAGCTTAGCTGCATGTTCCACTTGAATTCATCGCTACTCACTAGTGGGGTGCGGCAGCTCCTTTACACAATGCAATTATGCTCTTGGGATTCATTCAACTTCTATTTGCTGGTTGGATTTGCCAACAATGGAGATGCTTGGTGCTTGGTAACAGTTGAGCCAGGTTCTATAGATGCTGCAACATCAATACTTCAGAAGATATATGTTGTTAGGGGTCCGTTTAGTAACCGGAATCGTTTTTTGTTTTGCAGTCACTTGAAACCAGAACCACAACTGCAATCGTTTTTGTTTTGCAGCTTGAAAGCAAAATCTATGATTCTGATTTCCTGGAGCTGAAACAAAGAGCAAAATCACACTTAGTAATTCCTATTCTTCCCGGAAGTTTGAAATCAAAAAAGAGAATAAAGGGTTTAATTACTTCGATTTATTTGTTTTTTAAATGGGAAAATCTTGGTTGTATTAGAGACTAAATACTTTTTCTTTCATCGCTCCATCGTTGCTGGTCGTTGGGTTCAAAGCTTTTTTATCTGGTTCTGAGATTCCAGTTGAGAGAGAGAGAGAGAGAGAGAGAGAGAGAGAGAGAGAGAGAGAGAGAGAGAGAGAGAAAGAGAGAGGTGAGTTGAGGAAGAATCCAAAGCTGCAGGTGTCATATTTTTTTTCCTGAATAAGCTGCAGGTGTTATAGATGAGGAGAAAACTACGTTTTAATAAGGCTACAATAACATTACATCTGTAAATAACGTTTTAATAAGGCTACAATAGCATTACATCTGCTCCTCCTCCTCCTCCTTTTTATTTTATTTTTTTCCTTTTAAATCAGGAATTACTTTCTAAAAACCACTTTATTAAAACAGCCCCTGATAATAGTGGGATTGCTGCACTTACATATGAAATAAACTACTAGTTACTGCATTAGGTGATGGATTTAAATTTTTTGCATGCTATCGGTGACAAATTGTTAACTTCTGCTATGTTATCTTTATTCAGGTTACCAACTATCTTCAAGAAATAGCACCTGATCTTTGTGACCGTGTTGAATTGTATAGTAAAAGAACTCCTATTTTTGATGAATATAATATTGAGGAGGAGATAAACAATATTATCAGTAAAAGGTAAGAAACCAGTGCTGTTGCTTTTATTTATTTATTTATTTTGTCAGTCACATGCATCTGTTAGTTTTTATATTTCTGCTAAAAGATCTTTATAATCCAGTTCATTTTGATAAGTCTGTCATGTATGATGTATAATATGGATGGGATATATATGTAAGAACTGTGTGGAGTTTATGTAGGTTGAGTTGGAAGGAGAAGAATAGAAGGGCTACTTACATTTTGAAGCTTCTAAATTTTGAATTAGAATCTGTTAATGCCTTAGATAATGCCATTTTTTACGTGTATACTTCACTTAGTTTGGTCTTTCTCGAGGTTTTGTTTTCTCTGATTAGATTACCAGTTAACCTGAGAATGTAATCTCTGCAGGGGAAGCCCAAATTGGTAGGCTATCTTGTTAGTTGTTTGTGTTATAGTTTGTTCATTATACTGACAAATTCAATGCATTTTCAGTTTTTTCTCAACTAAGCAATGTTTCCCCAGTCAGATTTACCTTATTTTCTATTCACTGGCTGCATATGGTTTCTGTTGGAGAGTATCATAGGAGTGATTTGAGCCTATGATAGAATATTGATTGGAGTGATTTATGGGATTGATTTTAGAAATCCTCCATCAATGTATTTTCCATATTTATCACTAGTATTCTTTCACCTATAAATAAAGGTCCGGATTGTAAACAATATTAAGAGAGAATATAATAAAAGCGATGTAGCGCTCTGGCCTTTGTGTGTCTATCCTTGTGTTCTTCATGCTTAATTTCTCTCCTCAATTTTAATGTCTTTCATCATGATATCAGAGCGGGTTTATCATACCCTACTCTATACTCAATTCGTCTCGGATCTTCGGATCAATTCGTTTCAGATCTTCAGATCAACTCGTCTCGGTCTCTCGACAACTTCGTATTTAGTTTCAAGTTGGACACTTAACGTGTACCAACTTGAGCGGGGGTGTTGGAGAATATCATAGGAGTGATTTGAGCCTATGATAGAATATTGATTGGAGTGATTTATGGGATTGATTTTAGAAATCCTCCATCAATGTATTTTTCATATTTATCACTTGTATTCTTTCACCTATAAATAAAGGTCCTGATTGTAAACAATATTAAGAGAGAATATAATAAAAGTGATGTAGCCCTTTGGGCGTTGTGTGTCTGTCCTTGTGTTCTCCATGTTTAATTTCTCTCTTCAATTTTTGTGTCATTTCAACAGTTTCTTAAACTCTTGGTGCTGAGTAAATATTTCTTTACAGGGTCCCACTAGCTAATGGAGGTTATTTAGTCATTGAACAAACCGAAGCATTAGTCTCCATTGACGTGAATGGCGGGCAGTGCATGCTTGGTCAGGGGACTTCACAAGAGAAAGCTATTCTCAACGTCAACCTTGCTGCTGCCAAACAAGTACTTACCAACCAAATCCTCCCACCATTTCTTACATGTTTATTGGTGAAAATGCATTTTTTAATTCAACTTCTTTTCATATACATTTGTCAATATGTTGTTTTGCATGCATACATTGACATGGCTAAATGAAATTTTGTTATCTATGTTTTTTCTTTGTAATTAGGACTTGAATGTAATTGAAAGATAAATGTCTAAAATACGAGGAATTCTCTGTTACCTCTTCTTCTAGAGATTATTACATGTAGCCAAATCAAGCGGAACTCAAAAGTTCCAGGTGATCATAGGCTGGAGGCCTACGATCTGAAATTTTTGTCCTTGGTTCTTGTCATAAAAGTTTGGCTTTGTGTCACTTTTTTATATAGTTGGGGACATGAGCATCTGGTATAATGTAATCCGTGATGATATTTGGATTGCTGAAAAAATAAAAGTAAAATGCCACTCCTATTAATATTTGCTCCTGCTTGAAAACTATATTTTTGTGCTTTCTGTTATGGCTCTTTTTTGGTAGGATAGTGACTATCTTCTGAGTTCTGATAGTACTTCAACTACTTTACATAAAATGTGAGTTCTTAACTTGAGTATTCCTATTTGAGAATAGCATTATGTAGATTGAAGTAGAAAGCACAAAAGAGGGGCTTGCGGGAATTATTATGTATGGTAAAGTTATTATCTAAATACTTCCTAATATCTTAGAAATCTTATTAGTATCATAGTTAGGGCAAATCCAGTTAGGGCTGTAAATGAGCCGAGCTTGGAGGTGTTTGGGCTCAGCTCAACATAACTCTGTAGTGTTTGAGTTTGGCTTGAACTCGATCGCGCCTAGCTCCATCGTGATCGAGCTCGGCTCGACCTTATTAAGCCAAACTCGAGCTCAGCTCGAGACGCTCGTTTATACTATCTACACAATCTCCATATATACATATATGTACACACACACACAACACACACACACATATATACATGCACAAAGCACACATATATGTATATATACACATACACACAGACAGTTGGGGCATATATACATGTATACATATATAATAATTACGCCAATATGAGAGATCAGAAGAGGGAGAAAGATCGATGACAGAAAAATTTTGAAAACAAAGGAAAAAATGGAAAAATATACAATAACCGACTTGAAAATCTGACAGTTGTCTGGGTTTTAGTCGTACATCACCGCCGACTAAGCGCAATAGTTGGTTTGTGTTGCAGAACTTGCGGTGTTGCTGCGGCTCGGTCGTCATCGTCGCTGATCTAATTTGCTTGGGAATGTCCAAATCGTGTGTGTGAGAATTGTGAATGAGGAAGTGTGAATGAGGAAGAGATAAATTAGGGTTAACAATTTTGCAAAATTAGCTTTGGGCCTTTAATTTGATGGGCTTAGGCCCTTTTATATTAAAAAGGTTAAAATTATATAACTTTAGTTGGGTTGGACTCTTTTTGGGCTGGGTTTGGGTTATGAATGGTCCTTAGGAAACTTTATTGGGCTTGAACTAATAATTATTAAATGTTATATATATATATGTCTTTAGATACATATTAATATGTCTATATATTATTTCATTTGTTTGCGAACATGTTCACGAACAAACGAGCCAAATAAGAGGTTGTTTGACATTAGTTTGTTTATTAATCAAGCTCGAAAATTCTGTTTGAGATTGGTTCGTTAATTAAACTAACGAACACGAACCGAGCTTTTATCGAGCCGAGCCCAAACTGTTTGTCGAACGTTTGGTTCATTTACAGCCCTAAATCCAGTGCACGAAGCTCCCACCATTGCGGTGTCTGGGGAGGGTTAGATGTACGTAGCCTTACTTCGATATGTGGAGCAGTTGTTTCTTTGTTTCAAACTCGTGACCTCTAGTCACAGTGGAGCAACCTTACCGTTGTGCCAAGGCTTTCCCTCTTATTAGTATCACAGATATGCTATCATATTACATGAATAAATGCCCTGTTTGGGGATTTTTTACTGTGCTGGACGCATCAGATGCACCATTATGTTATTTTGTCATTCCACGTACCATTCGCTTTGGGTTATGGTTTTGTTTTATTTTAAGGTTTTATGCAGTCTCCTGTGGTGCTATCCATGTGTTTCCAATTGAGCGTCAATGGTACTCTCCATATGGCTTTCAGGATGATATCTAATGATGCTGTTTATTCAGAGTGTTACTCTATAATTGTTTAGGTGATAATCACTAATAATATTAACTGTTTCAGATTGCTAGGGAATTACGGTTGAGAGATATTGGTGGCATTATTGTGGTAGATTTCATTGATATGGTGGATGAGTGTAAGTAAAGTTCTCTATCTCTCTCTCCACCTATTTACAGCATATAATTTTTAGTTTAGCACTGTATATTTTAACAAAAATATGATTGAATAATGGATATTACTGCAATAGACAAGGTTAACTGTACGTCCAACATGGGTAACCTTATTTAATTTGTTCTCTTTTTGGCACAATGCCTTCCAGCAAATAAGAGATTGGTTTATGAAGAAGTTAAAAAAGCTGTTGAGAGAGATCGATCAGTGGTGAAAGTTTCTGAATTGTCCAAGCACGGGCTTATGGAAATCACCAGAAAGAGGGTACATTGCTTGTTTCTGAATGGTTGCTTTGTTGCCTTTTATTTTTTTTACAAAAAATAAAAATAAAAATGGTTGCAAATAAAATTGCCACTGCTAGATAGCAACTACTTTTTGTTGGCAAGAAGTTCATCAAAGAGCGGATATCTAATTACTTGTATAGTTTGATAAGTAATCTGATGTGAAAATTAATCTGATGTGAAAATTGGCATTTCAAGATACCTGACTACTAATTACATTAATTTTTATATACTAAACTGTTGGTGCGAAGTTCAACAGGTTCGACCTAGTGTGACGTTTATGATTAGTGAACCATGCGCTTGCTGTCATGCTACTGGGAGAGTGGAAGCCTTGGAGACATCATTTTCCAAAATTGAGCATGAAATTTGCCGGTTAGTGGTGAGTAATTATCTTTAATTTCAGAGAATATATTTATTCATATCGTATATTGTTTTGAGAGATGAAACATCAACTCGCGAATGGTTTGAGGATTATGATTTTTGGGAATGAAACAAGGGAAGTTATTGTAAATTTCTTTCCTCTACTTTTGGGCTCTTGTTTGGTATACAGTTTTAGTGTGGAAAAGGAAAAATAAAGGAGGAAAAAAAAAGAAGAGGAAATGGAAAAGAATATCTCTCATATTATCTCCTCTTCTTTTGTAAAAGTGAAGATTAGTACTGGATCAAGCAAAAATAAATAAATGAAATTTAACAAACTTCCTCCCGTTTCCCTCATAGTTTCTTCTACCCTTTCTCCCTTCTTTCCCCTTGAAGTTTCTTCTCCACTTTTCTCCATGGTAACCAAGATGACATTCTTTACATACTCTTTTCCGTTCTCTCACTAAATCTGACCAGATGGAGCCTCAGTTGTATTTTGGATGCATTTCTCCTTCTGTTGAATTGTTTGTGAATGCTAATTTGGCAATCTCACTTTCCCATTCTATAGCAAGTCTTTACAATCTCAAATCCCTTATTCTTTTTCTTAGATAATTTGTTAAATCACTGTGGCATGTTTCAATTCCGTTACCCATTTTTTACTGGTTTTGTAACTTTATTTCAGTTTTGGTAATTATTTCTCTTTCATTTGTATCAGGCGATGAAGGACCAGAAGGCAGATCCTGAAAACCCCAAGTCATGGCCAAGATTTATACTGAGGGTTGATCGGTATATGTGTAACTACTTAACATCAGGGAAAAGGACAAGACTTGCAGTCTTAAGTAGTTCTCTTAAAGTGTGGATTCTTCTGAAGGTATGTCCAATCAGCACATAAATTTACTAAATTTACTACAATTGAATTGTGGTTAAAGGAATCTGATACATATTATGGGTTGAAAATATAATTTCCACCTTCCAGTTTGTGTTTAATGAACTATTTTTTTTTTTTGGTAAGTAGTTTGTGTTTAATGAACTTATGGAAAAAAATATTCGGGTAACTACATTGTACCATCACATAGAAAAAGAGGTCATGGGCCACATATCCAAACAAAATAATAATTCGAGACTGATACCGAGTTTCTGTTAAATAACTAGACACGGTAAATTTTATATAGATGTCGTAGTTGATTGCATACTTTGCTAGTTTTGAGCCTCCACATTTGAAGTTGTATATACAAAAATTGACGTGAAAAGGAAAAACCCTTAATAGACTTGAGTTGTCCTCATGCACTCACATTCCAGTAACTGCAGCCTCTCTGAGGCGTTGGCATAATTGACACTCTTCAGTCATTTTATCCACTCTACACTTTATAGTTATCTCTTCTCTTTCTGCATTCATATATTCATATCTCCTTGTTTTCCAAAGGTCATTCAAATTTTGTTGGACAATGGAATTCTAGTTTTCAATTACTCTACTTCTTTTTAGAGTTTAATGGAATCAAAGATAAAAATCTGAATGTAGAGAAGGGTAAAAGTTTTTCCCCATACACCTCTTCATTCCTTTCTTCATATTTTCCAGAAAGATTACTCATGTAAGGGTTTATATAATTAATTGTTTATAGGAAATTGAAATGCAAAAAAACTAAAGATGCGGAAGTTGGAGGAAACCATGAAACAGGTTATGCGCATAAACGATTGCATGTATAAAGGGCCTCCAAATCATCTACTCAACAACTTTAACAGACCTAAACTTCCACATCTCAATCAACATACTATGAAAATGAATTTGTTATTGCATTGATGTAGAAAGTCACAATAATAATGGTTGTCTGGTTAATCAATTTAACACTTGCACATCAATGCCATTGGTGTGGTTTTCGAACAGCCATTTTTTGAATTTCAAATGTTGGCGGGACCAGAACTAGATAATGTCATTAACCTCTGCAAAATCAACTATAACTTCTTCAGGAAAGTGTGGTTATTTACCTCGTATGATCAAAGCATAAAATAACCTACTTAAGTTTACATTTGTTGGTGAATTTAATTGAAATGTCTGACATCCATTGATTTGAAAGCCTTTTTCATCTCTTTTGTGGGAATGAGATTCAACTTTTTCAAAGTTATTTAAATGTCCTCAATCTTCTTGAAAACCTATTTACAGTTTTATTAGTTCCATTGTTCATCCTTTGGCAACAGAAGGATGAGGGACTTCGCTCCCTGATCAGCTTCTTCATTTTATTATAAAAAATCCTTTATTGTTCTACAAGTGATTAATTAAGCATTACAGCATTGCTAAATGCAATCTATTAAAAACACTAATGAATTAACTTTGATTCAGAGTGGACAAAACCTATTTTTTGCTGCAAACCATTTTTCAGGTCTTATAAAATCCTGAAACATAGTTTATATACTTGTCCTGAAACATGGTAAACTGGGAAGAACATGATATATGGAGCTAGTTGCTTTTTGTTTTTTTCCCTCATCCATATAGTTGAAATCTGTTGAAAGCATCATCTCACCTCTAAGATGAAGAGGCGGGGGGTCCCCCTAAAAGGACTCCATTGCCCCTTTAATTGTCATTTGACCTTACTACCATTTGTAGTATTTTTTCAATATCAACTTCTATCTTTGAGTGAGCTGATATTATTTGGTCCAGTTTATTATTTAGCATAAATCAGTGTGTGCACTTTCATTCAGTGGCTCCACAGTAGACTAGCTTTCGATTCGATGTGTACATTGCTACCCGTGTTGATTAATGTATAATGGTAATTAGATTAATGTATTGCAACTGTAACTCCACGAAAATAGCCTACGTTTCAGAGCGTACATTTGTATTTATAAATTTATGTCCAATTTCATGTTAATTGTAATGCGAAATACCAAATAATGATTTCCACAAGCTGTTTTTGATTAATCAGGTTGCTAGAGGTTTTACACGGGGCGCATTTGAAGTGAAACCTCTGACAGATGATAAGGATTACAATAATCAGCACCAAGTTGGCATTTCAATGTTAAGGCCAACAACAGAGGTTGGAAAATATCCCAGTGGAAAATTAACTCTCTTTCCTATAAAGAAGTGGAAGACTGGTGGGAAGTGAGCATGCCTGGTTCAGCTAACCTCATTCTTTATGTACAGCTCGGTCTGGTTTTATATGCCTTTTTTCTTTCTTTCTTTCTTTTGTCGCATTTCTTTGGCTAGATAAATTTGGTATAAAATAGACGTTTATATAGTGAGAATGACCTCATGATAGACTTCACGTTGAGCAACTTTCATATAAGAAATAGCTCCATTTATAGTTTTAAGAACATATATTTATTCAGTTTCTGAAGAGCAAACTGTCATTAATAACAAAGAAATACTGGCTATATTAGTTATAGTGTAGACACTGAGGCTAATATAATACAAATCAAAAGAATTGGGTCTCTTAGATGCACATGACAATTATGAATAGGTGGCCCATGAATGTTATGAAACGTTGCAATAGTTAGAGTCTGAGCACTAACACTCAGTGCAGACTCAGTTGCTTGGAAGACATTGCAGAGAAACTTTGGCATGCCCGAGTATAACCGATCTTTTGCGTGATAAAAAATAATTCCAAGTTTCAAGAGGAAGGACTATTTGATGTTGTAACTAATTAATTCCTGTAAAATAGTTAAAACGTGACAGTACAATATCAGGTAGTGTTTGCAATACAAAGTACAAGCATTTTTCATAAACATACTACTTATAATAGAAATTTGAGTTACAACCTCTATTGTGTCAAAATGTCTTTGAAAAAGTAATTTATTTTAAACATCAATCCGAGTTTCAAACCAATCTACCTAAGTTAGTTTACTGCCTGCAGGAGAGAATGAAAGATAGATACTCTAAAATACACGCACACCCTCCTCCTCCTTTTTATATGAAAATAAGCTATAATGCTAATCAATGTCGAGCAGATATCATATTATTTTTTAAAATAATATTTATTATTATTATTATTTTTTTTTTTATTTTTTTTTTTATTATTTTTTTTTTATCCCCGTTCCAAATCCTAGCTCCATGGCTACCCAACGAGGAGGTTCAACAATTTTGTAGGCATGTGCATTTGTCTGAACATCCAAGGAGGAGGGTAAAAAACACCAAATAAAAAAACAATTCAATAGAAAGGTTGAAAAACTAGGATGGTAGGCTTGACATCATCCTTCGTAAAGCTAATTCACCCTCACTAGTTTTTTAGGAAATTTATACCCGTTAAATGGACTGTTAGATTTAAAGAGGTAACGACGTCAGGTAAAACAAAAATGTAGAAAATTTACCATGCCAACTGCCTGCATGAACTAGTCAGAAGTAGTAAATTTGTTCTCGCATGAACTAGTCAGAAATCTAAAGCAACTTGCATGATTCACATACATGTGCACAGCTACATATTATAAATGCCATATCTCAAAGCTGTGTGGACGAATGGATGCATTGAAATGCTTCTACAAAGGTACCGCAACAAATTTTTGGGGGAAAATTTATAGTAACAATACAATGCAAGAATTAACAGCAACATCGACCAGATAAAACATCCAAGCATGTGTAGGGTTTTGACTTTTCTTCTAGTTCCTGTGTCGTCGGTAGTGGTTCCATACTGTATATGCTGCTTCGAGCACAGCAAAAGTTGTACAAATTTCTGCATGCTCCTTTACTAAATGGATACACTCTTTCAGGAATCCCCCTGTAGATCAATACAAAGTATCAACTGAAATCGGCAAAGAACCCATTGTATGATAGTCAATTGTGTCTTTATCAGGACGTCGAGCCATGAAAGAATTTAGTTAATTAATGACCAAGCTACTTTCTCATGAACGCTTAGATGTAGACAGCTAAAAAATGTTTGTTAGATAAAAAACCCAAGGTCAATCTGTCTTGTGCTCAACTTGATAAGCTCACAGGCAATCTAGAATTACATGTACATATAACCAAGCTACTTGAGTCAATAAAGGCTCCGGTAGCTTGTGCTTGTTTGTGTAAGAAAGAAGCCCGGTTCAATCTTCATATAGTTACTCGTTAATTTTTCAGGTTAAGCTTAAGCCCACTGCTAAGGTTGCGTGGCTCGTACCTATACACCTATTTATTTGTTTGTTTTTTTCCCTACATATTTGTCCTAAATCAGTTTAAAATTGTGTTTAAAAAGGCCACCCATTGATTAATAAAGAAACATGCCCCAGGAGTACCAAGAATTTTAATTCTATGAGGTTTCCTGAGATATAAAAATAATAAAACAGTCTTAATACGATGATATATTCTCATGTGGCATCCAGCATTTCAACAAGTGAATTGTATTCATCAGTAATGTAATTTCAAATATCAAAAAGCAGTTAAAATTAAAAGGAATAGAACAAAACAACTGACCTTAAATAAGGGATCCGCCGTCGTCTTACAAGTTCATATGTAGTTTGATTTGTGAGAACAAGATAGCTGTTGAAAAATAATGTCAGGGTCTGTAAACAGTGATCCCAATCTGGGAATTTCGACAATGCTCGACAAAATGAATAAAGTGCTATAGCAAACAAGGGTGCACACAAGCCCGACAACACGAGGTGGGAACCCATGAGAGAAACATACACAACCATAAAAATTCTTTCTGCATACAAACAGAAAAAAAATGTAATTCAATCAAGAATTACACACATTAATGCAACCAATAACAGCCCCCATCAAAGCGATCTGAGGCAATTCCTTTAGGTGGGGTCACTTGGCCCTGGTGCCTCGTGAAGGGATTCAACTCGGATTCAACTCCTCTTGGGTGTAAACAATTCCTTGAGGATGTGTGTGATTATCAACTAGGGGGAGAAAAAAAAAAAAAAACACTGAGCCAAATAGATCAGTTCATAATTTGCAGGTCATAGCCACACTTTTCCATCTGGTGTTCACATAGTTATATTCTTTAATTCATGTAAACAGACTCAAAATCTGAAAATTTCGACATATATCCGACTTCAGTAGAAACCAAAACAGTCGAACCATTCTAGAAATATATTTACCCTCCAATTTTACAGTTTAATGTATATGAACTCATCCATAGTCACAAATGGTGTTGCCTCTTTCCAGTAAGGTTACTGTGAGAAGAATATCACATGTCATAGAACTTTTATTTCCCTTTCTTACTTGCTCTTTAATATTTTTTTACATACACCAATTAGTCTTCATTAGTCTCTTAATGGCAGTCCTTATTTTGAACGATATCGTACCAAAGGCCAAATAGCAAATTGAGCATAATTCTCTTTCAAGTGACATGAAGAATGAACTTGCTTATGATCTGCCAATTTAAGGACATGAAGTTCTTGACATGCCGTTGATCCTGGAACATATGTTAATGCCCAGTGTAGACAGCCACCCCCTCACTGCATTCACTGCCCAGCTCATATGTATCCTAAACCATGTCAGTAAAGCCCCCATGGCAATTGTACACGCCATCTTATATGACCTTCTACGCATATCTTACTTTATTTTTCTATCTTTTTCTGAAATTGCTAGTTTTATCCCAGCTACATTATTGGAACATGTTCCTTGACTCCTGACGTTTTGTAATGCAAAAAAGCTTGGAAGACCTCCTTTTTCCAATTGTGAAGGTTTACCACAGAGCACCTTCAAATCAATTCTTCCCTTCACCACTTATGCATGGTTTTGATGAGCACGTCTTCTTCAATCAGTCAATCACCCCATTCCTCATGTATAGTCAATTTAAGTTTTTTCCTTTTCTTTATTTTGCTGAATAGTTACGAAAGTAGTACTTCTTGCTATTTCTGGTCACCAATTTCCACAATTCCCTCATCTCAACTCCTAATCTTCTTAAATTTACATTCCATTTTATACTTTTCTAGATTTGCCCATCCTAAATCCTTCAGATACAAAAGCATTTGCTTTGCAAATGTAAGTATCAAATCTTACTAGTAGGACTTAGTAACAAAGTAATGGCATATACCCATTGACAAATTCTGCTGTTGCAATAAAAATTGGTGAACGTACTAGTTACGTAGGTCATATACCAGGTCACCAAGTTGATCCTTCAATATTGAAAATGGAAGGTGGTCCATGGAGGCAGAGTGCTTCATTCAATGATTCTTCAGTAGAAAAGTTTGTAAGTTACTACCAACATTGTATTCTATCCTTTCATAGTTAATTATTTGACTAAACGAGAACTTCTGAATCTTTCCAATTGGGTTATTCATGTAAGGTCATACATGTCCTTTGCTTTGCGTGATTACTTTATTATGGATGTTTAATTATTGCTTGATTAATTTTTCATATTTGTTGATTGATTATGGTGATGGAGTGGAAATCAATTAAATTTAATGTAAGCAAGAACTAATCAAAGAAAGAATTAGACCATATACCCCCCATGGTCCAGTGTATTATATCCCTACATCATTTTCTCAAACTGCTATCAAACCATTAGTTTGCATTCTCTCACTTGGCACCAAAATAACATGTGAAAGCTATTAGAGAAAACATTATAAACAAAAAAGTGCCCAGTAGAATTCACGAGTGAACCGGAGATAAATGTGGAGACTAGATTTATTGTTTTTATCATTATCTAACTTCAAGATTGATACTATGATAAGATCATTCATCAGTAGCTGAAGGGTATACGAGGTCAGCAGATGTTGATGAATACCAAGGGATAGTTCTAGATCTAGTCCTAGTAAAACTATTCATAAACCAACATTTAGCAGGTCTAAGAAACAAAAAATGTAATGCTGGATGAAAAAGGATTACGTTCTTGAGACAGATGACAACGCTTACCTATGAAAAAGGAGCAGCAGCAGAAGAAAAATCAGGGAAATCAATAAAGTAGCCAACAGCAATATCATGATTACGTCTATCCACCTGAAATAAAGATGAAAGTGCAAATTCAGTTAAAGATGCAAACTGCAAGGGACTTACAATGAGCTAAGTATCATAAAAATGGCCATAATCATAACTAAGTGGCACCCAGTTAAGCCCCTCTCTCTCTCCCTCCCTCCCTCAGCCACAAGCCCAACTCTTCAAATTCCATCTCCAACAAGCAGGCAGGGCCACTAGACATTTCATCTATCATTTAGCGTTATACAATTTGGGACTTTCTCAAGTGATAAGAATGTCCTATAAAGATACATACCACGCCTTTGATATATTAGCCTTTAAGTATGAAATGTACAAGATGACAGTCCAAAGGCACAATGCTGTTTCCTCACAAATGTACCACCTGGTACATCAATTTTTAATAACAAAATCAGAAAAAACACTATGGTTAGAGAAATGAATTTGAAGCCTGTGAAATGAAAAAAAAAAAAAAAAATAGACAAATAAATGAAACAGAGTTTGCATCTATGAACTTCATTCACTTGTTGATTGGCCCGCGGAAAATATAAACATCAATTTTGAACCAAAAACTACAATAGTCTGAATAAGTAACTAAGCATCAGTCCACAATAGCAACAAATATTAAACAATAGTAAACACAATATCAATTGTGCTAACACTTGTAAGAAAACTTTTCCTAGCCATAGTGGTGAAAACAGTACACGATAAAATAGCGTGCCTAAATTGAAAGGCAGTTAAAACTGTAACACAGGATTCAATTCACATTCTTCTGAAAGTGGAAAATAATAGATAATTTCAGCCATATATACATACATAAAACCATACATTTTACATACATATATGTATCTCGTAACCATATGAGAGCAGCCACTTTATGAAAAATCATGCTTTAAGTTAGACCTGTCCCCAGTCCCCCAACCAACGACCCCCCACACCGCCCCCCCCCAAACCAAAACATCCCTCGTGCAGGTAGGACCACTAATAGGTAATGGCCTTTATATATCTCTTAACCAATTATAACTACTTCTGACAAACATATCAGTTTTTTGAAGTTCACCACTAAACAGATAATCGGATTAAATCTTCAATTCATATCCGAGTTATCGGATCAGATTCAGGTCAAAATCTGATCCATTGACAGGCCTAAATCTATGGCAATTACCTTAGAGTTAGAGGTAGTACTTAATCTTTTGCCCAAATAAATTAAAAAATTTAAAAAGGAGAGATTGAATTTCATGATTTCACCACATCTTTGACATCATTCTATTATCATAACCACATTATTCCCTTTCAAGTAAATTCTGTCATTTGCATGATTGATAGATTACACTATCAAATTATCAATCGAAGAATGAAAGAAGATGAACTAAAGATGTCTAAACAAACAACTAGAGACATTAAGATGTCATAAACATGGGAGCAATTAGATAATATTTATAAAATCTCAAATGCCATCATAAGAGCCCTAGTAGAATAGAATAAGCATAGCATTAATTGTCAATGATGTTTCTTTGATGGTAACAGAATATCATTTGTAATTTTAGCAGAAAGAGAATCATTGATTAAAAAAATTAAACATTTATGGATGACAAATAAAGGGTACATACTCACCAGAATCGACAATGGTTACCCTGGCCTATGCATGTCCCAAGCCAAACACAATGATGATCGAATTGAATAACACATTTGTCACAATCATGACAGTGCTTCGCTCGTGGTGGCTGCAAATATATTACATGCAGAATAAACAGTAGTCAGAAGAAGTGACAGAGCCAGAAAATGATTTGAGACGGGGCAGCCTTGAACAACAAAAAGATCATTTATTTATTTTTTCAGAACAAAAGAACTAACTTTAATTGATATTTTTCTTGAAAATTGTTAATTTTTTTCAATAAATACTTTAACTTCAAAAATATATAATTTAGAAAGATAAATAGAAATTGTGAATTTATAGATTTGATATGATTAATCCTTTATTTTTTTTGGCAGACCAAGATGATAAGGACAATTTTAGAAATGTGTGGTCAAACCCATATCCAAGAAGCCAGGCATATCAATAAAAAAGTAATTGATAAGAGAATCAATAAACAAGTTTAGAACTTTAGAGAGAGATTAAAAAAGCTACAATCCCTAACTTACTCCATATACATATATGTATATTTAGATACATATATATTTAAAGTGTTTTACCAAAAATTTAACGGGGCCATTAATAGAATTTTTTTTTTTGATAAGTAAAATCATATAAAAGCACTCAGAAGGGGAGCGGAACCCAAAAGGAATACAAAAACCCACAAAGGGTCACTAAGCCTGCAAAGAGGCCAGGAAATCAACAATCTCCTCTAAAGATCTATGATCTCTTCCTGAAACCCAACAAAAAAGAGTAGAAAGAATAGAAAACTTAAGCAAAAAAATCGACATCTCCTTTCCCTCAAAATATCTTCTATTCCTCTCAAGCCATAAGCACCACCACACGCAGAGAAGTGTAGCCCTCCAAGCATCCCGAATATGGGCCCCCACTTGGCAACCTCTCCAAGCCTCAAGAAACCCTCTAACGGGTCCCGGCATAACCCAAAGCATCCCAAACAGCCCAATCATTAAGTCCCAGCAATCACGAGCCATGGTACAATGAATAAGAAGGTAATCCACTGTTTCCTCATCTCGAAGACACATATAGCAACGATTGACCACTACCTGGTTCCTCCTTCTCAAGTTATCCTGGGTTAAGATCCTTCCCAGAACAGAGGTCCACGCAAAGAAAGCCACCTTGAGAGGAGCCTAAGAGCGTCAAACAGACTTCCAAGGAAAGCAAACTCTAGGATCATCTGAGAGACACCTAAAAAAAGATCTCACCTCAAACCGCCCCTGAGAGTTGGCAGTCCAAGTCCAACTATCAGACTCCTCAACCACAATCTTCTGGCGATAAAATAACTACAAAAAATGAATGGCCTCCTCAATCTCCCAGTCCTAAAACAATCGCCTGAATCGAACATCCCAAACCAGTCTTCCGCTATCAAGATGATAACAGTTGACTACCAAGGCCTGCCTACTTGAAGCAATTCTGTAAAGCTGAGGAAAAGCACGAGCCAGAGGAACATCCCCACACCAAACATCCTCCTCCCATCTCTGAGTCGAAAACGAACATGTTTGGAGAAGAGATCCCAACCCTTTCGAATAAAATTCCAAACCCCCACCCCTCGAGACCCTCTCACTTCCAAAGAGCTCCAACCACCTCTCAACTCCCCAAACCGGCTCACCACGCCCCGCCTCCAAAGCCAGTGCCTCTCCACACGAAACCTCCATAACCATTTCCCAAGGACGGCCTTATTGAAAGGCATCAGTCTATGAAGACCCAAACCTCCAAATCGAATTGGCTTACATAAATAGAATTTTAGAAGGAAAAAAAAAGGTATGTAACATAAATGAATGAAATTTGAGTGGGGGCTGCCACCACCACTTGGCCCTACCCTACATGACTCCATCAATGGTCAGAAGTTGTGAAAACAACATAAGAATCTAAAAGGAATGCGTGAGCACACAATAACTTCATAAATGACTGATTATTGTGTTGTAAAATGACTAACATCTTGACACTATTATGAGAGGTTGATTTCTTGGCAACGAGAAATTTTCCCGTAATGCATCTCTTTACAGTAATTTATACATAGAAACCCTTGTCCCAACAGAGACTTCTATACTACATTTCCCCATTTGGGGCTTGAAGGAAAACTGTTTTCTTTCCATTTTACCGAGCATGTGCACAATTAAAAACAAATTACAGCAACATGAAAGTCCGGCTTTCTCGGTAAGCCCATAAATAGAACCCGGTCTCCATTAGACTAGTATCCACAAAAGTTGGCCTTCTAAATTTATTTACTTCTCCAGATAAGATTGTGTTATGAAAGAACCGATAAAATACAATCAGGAGTTAGGCAAAGCCAGATGATCTAGTTCAGCAGTGATCATGTTGTATATGTGCTATGTATATTTATGTCCCCTAAACATAATGTTTACCCCATTCACTAGTATGTGAATAGGTGTATCTCATTTCTTAGTTCCAAGTGCAATAATAGATTCTACGACAATTTCCATCAATTACATAATCATGAATTTGAGAGATTGGTAAATGGTATCCAATTGAGTCATATAGAAAAGAACATATAAGATGAGAATCTAACCTGCACAACATTACAATAAGTGCATGTGAAATTTCTGCAAAAACCAAGAGGAATAAGTTAGTTGTACATCTGCGGTCATATGTGATACTTTTGTCCATATTGCTCACATGAACTTATAACAAAAAATTATGGAACTAATATTGAAAATGTTGTCTAGTGTCTCCTATAAAATAAATAAAAAATTAAACAAAATGATGTGCAAAAATTTGACGGCATGGACAATTCATGTGCATATAAATAATAATTGATACAAAAATGACAGAAGCACCATCAGTCTAGTTATGAAGTTTTTGTACCTAATGGAAGATCCGAGAGGGTACATGTCCATCACCACCTTTGTCCACGATGTTGTGGTATTCCCTAAAAGACTTTTGCCCATTTGATTCCCATCCACAGTAACAACTACGCTGCCATTTTTGCTCGAAGCAGGTTGTCTTTGCTTGATTGTTATAAATTAACATTAAACATAAAGATATGGCAATTAGATGGTGGCCAGATTCAGAAAATACTCTCTAATACACTTAAATAAGAAACATTTTGCGTCAGTTTCTTCCCCTGATTCCTTTTTACCATTGACAATGGAAATGAAAGGTAGTACTTACTTTGAGGTTACTGATGTCTTTCTGAATAAAGCATCTCCCTCAGTAGCAGCCCTCATTGCATCAAGAACATAGCTAAAATAATAAAGAACAAAGCAATCAAGTTAATCAGAAAATGACAAATATTCAAAATGCTCTCAGCACAACCAATAGACTAACACTCTTCGCAACAAAAATGGCTATGCAATGGGAGTGACACTTACCCAGGAGAAGAACCAGAGGTAAAGAAATATTGAGCCAATGTAGCAAAAAACAAAAACGTATATAGTGCTGTGTACCTGAGAGAGAGCAAGGGAGTTAGGGAAATAATAATAAACATCAGAAAACAGCTGCATATTTTTAATTAAACAGCAGCACACAACTAGGCCACAAAACAAAAAATTGAAATATTATTTCCCTAGTTTTTCATCATATGTGTTTCAAGGCTTGCATCGAATGTCACTCAAATCATTCAAGCAAAATGGCTTGACTCTGAGTGCCCCTGCCTTGCTAACTAGTATATCACATTTCAACAAAGGCCTCCTAGTAACATGTGCATATTGAAATGTGAAGTCTGATGTCAGTTTCATTATAAAGACTTCACACTAAATTTCCTGCATAAGCAAGTGGAATTTTTTCAATATCAATTATTCATGCAAGATAATATGATGCCCTAGCTGTAACTCTCCTTGATAACATCATTTATAACCCATGCTGTTGTTTCAAGCATAGTATCAATATTCCTTGATTGACAAGCTGAAAGAAGTAGTGGTAGACGACTTTGTTCCTTCAGCATGCAAGTGGATGCCATGTCAAATGCACATGAACAAAACCTATAGTAACATTGTCGACTTCATGGTACATATAATTGCACTCCCAACCGTTCTTGTCTTCTTGAGTTGTTCATAGTTCATACAATTTGACATCCATGTGGACAGTTTACTGCCTTCTCAATCACCCATTTTGATAATCCACCATGAAGTCCATTTTCCAACTCAATCAACCACAGGCAATGCTCCTTTGCTTACAACTGTGTGGTCAGTTTATTGTGTTTAAACTTTAAAGCTTCATCTTCAACAACACTATTTGAGTGCTGGTCCTGTACAATTGTATAATTGCAATGGGAATCCTCCATTTGATGTTTAATTATTGAATAATGAATGAAGCTTGAAATAAATATAAATTGATGGGCTTGGAACTAATGTAATGCTTCATCGAATTTTCCTTCATTTGCGGTATTTTCTTGGATTTTGGAAGTGTTTTTTCTCTTGTAGATTAGAATAGTTTTACACGTCAAAGTCTCAATGAGCCTGGTGAAGTGGCACTTTATTCATCTTTTGATTCATGAAAATTCTATATTTATATAATAGGGATTCGTCTTCCTTCTTTGTCTTCCTTCTTTGCCCATAAGAGCGCTACTGATATAGAAAATGACTAGATCCAATGTTCGAGGAGATGAAATTGAGTAACAGATAACGCAAAAGTATATAAGGCAATTTCAATGAATCAGATGTGAGAGGGTACATAGCACTTCCACTGTTGATTAAACATGGATGGGTGAATGAACGAACCATATTAGGCTCAATCTGAGTAAAACCCGACATTATCCAATCTCACAAACGATGGGAAACTAAAAATTCGAAACCCTAATTTTCTTTTAATTAATACCTTGCTTTTTCATCCGCAACCAAACATAGAAAGTAAAGGAAAATTATAGTGAAAAATACATAAAAGATAAATAGAAAGAAATACCATGGTTCGCTTTTCGTTTTGTCTATCAAATCTTCATCAAAGAGAAATAAAACGCCGGTGAAGATCAGATGCAGCATCACCAATGCAAATTTCAAACACAAGGAAGATCTCCGAGCTAAAACCCCACAATCCCAAAAACATCAAACACAAATGCATTACATATTATATATACATATAAACACACATATATAAATACATAAACCATAAAAATAAATTAAAACAGTTGAAGGAAATGGAAAATTGGGAAGTGGAAGTGGAAGTAGAAGAAGAACCTGGATCGGAGAGACATGGGAAAAAATGGAAGAATCGATCACATGTGTCGCGAAAGGGTCGGCATGAACCCACCATCGTTGTTGACTCACTGCAAATATCACTTGCATCTCACAACCACCAACTCTTCACAAATGAAATGATTCTCTCTCTGACTGATCATAAAGAAGCAAATAAAATGAAATCTCTTTCTGTCTCTGTATCGATAAAAACTTGTAGAGAGAGAAAGAGTGGATTAATACAGAATGGAATTCAGTAGAGATAGAGACCATCCTAAATATATATATATATATATATGTGTGTGTGTGTGTGTGTGTGTGATATTCTGATATATGGTGTAAATATGTATTTTTTTTTAATAAAAAAATACAATTAAAAATTTGACATAAAAACATTCTTAATTAAGGATATGTCTATATACACTAATTAGTCACATAATTTTTTTTTAATGAGTGCCACTTTTAGGCCCAAGTGCGTTTTCGTTGGCATAGCACGCACTCTTTTTTCGAGTCTCACTTTTTCTCTTCTCGCGCTTTCGCTCTCTAATTAATCCTCGCGTGATCTTGTAAATAGAATAATATATAAAAAGTTGTGATAAAAATATAGTACTATTTATATATTTTTTTTATTGATATACACATTAAATAATTATTATTTTTACATTATTTTGTTACTTTTCAATCATCTCTCAATACAAAATTAAGTTAAAAGAGTGATGAAATTAATTCATGATTGTAAAAATATTTATAAAATTACATATTTATTTCCTCTAATATATATATTTCACTTATCAAAATATAGATCTTCTGTTTTCTATGTCAATTATTATTGTAGAGTTTAGATAGTTGAATTATTCATGATATGGTTTAATCTTATACATAATCAAGTACCTAAATTTATAGTATTAATTATGTAATACTCTGTAATAGGTAAGGGCCTCATGGCTAATGAAATCTAACATTGGTGACTTTTTCTACTGATGGGAAAAATAAAATGATTGGGTTAATTATTGATTATTTTACTATAATTACACACTATTAAAAGTTCAATTTTGTAATAGTAAAATAATTAAAGGCAACATAAATTTAAAAGGAAAAAAAATTACATAATTAAAACATAACACAAAAATCTACTTGGTTAGAGTTGAACCTCACCTTTTCACTTTGAAAAGTAACTCTTATAATATATAATATTTAAAATATCTAACATATATATTATTGGATTCAATTAAAAAACATGAGTTTTATTTGCAATATCTATATTTACATGTATTTTATACCTATAATACTAATTTTTCTAACTATATATTTTGCTACAGCAGGTGGAGTCGGTGGGCTAGCATCCATTGTTGGCCCACAAATCTACAAATTGTTTTCTTACCGACCATATTTATATTTTATTAATATTATCATCATTTATTTTTATTTGTTTTTTATGATGTAAGTAAACACCATATGTGTCATTCACCTGATGATATAACCAATTAATTAAATTTTTTAAGTGCATGGAATTCAGTGATACAAGTATTTGATTAATATCAGCAGTTAAGCTTATCATATATAACGTAATAGATATATAATAATAATTTAATCTACAAATTATTTTATATGCCTTACATAATAGACTCGACTTAGAAATAAAAATAAAAATATAGAATTAAACCTGAATTTTACTACCAATAGGTGAAACACCTTTATAAACGCATGCAAAATAAAATAAAATTTTCATTTTAATCTTAAAATTTGTATTCTGTAAAAATAAATCTTTCAATAGAATAATTGTATCATAATAGTTGGTATTGTATCTAAAAGGGATTTATGAAGTTAGGAGTCAGTTCTTTATCGTAGAAAAAATAATAATATAATAAAGAAGGTTCCTCACTAATGATTTTATCCCATGACAATTGACATAATCATAATTAAAAATTTATAAAGTTCATTATGTTTATTTTATTTTTTATAATAAAAATGAGTTTATTAACGGTGACCTCATGATTCTTTCTCATGATCTCATTGTGTGGTATTATTAAAAGATTCTTTTTCATTACCTCATGTATGGAGTTTCTAGAGACTCCTTGTGAAATTTAAAAGAGTAAAATGTATGTAATTATATATATATAAATAATGATATATATAAAAATGAACACAATAATGTGCATACATTTATAACAAATATATACATTTATATATATAATTTTATTTTTTTAAAAATAAAATATAAAGAGCAGGACATGGGCGAATATTTCTCAAAATTTATACATATTTCATAATTCGCAACGTGTTTAAAATTTAAATTTATATATATACTATTTTTATATTTGTATCATTAATGACGGGACTCAACGAGCTCCGATGAATTGAGAGATTTAAGTTATTGTGAAGTTTAGGAAGGTAAAATATAAATTTGTCTAATAATTTGGATATGAAAGAAATATTTATTAATGGTATCTGTCAATATTTATGCACACCAAATATTAAAAAGGAAGGAATAAAAAATACATAAATAAAAAAAGCATGCAATTAGTAAACATTATCCAAAGCAACAAAATTTCAATTGGGCCGCTGACCGTGTGGTAAAGTTGGACGGCTCATTTACACGTGTCGTGTGATTGCTGAAGTTATAACACGTTGCTACCGACTATTAGGTATACCATAGATGTACGGTGTACCTCACATTCTACAAGCAACTCAGCAGAAAATTCAAAGACCATCCTCGAATTGTAGTCTCCTAATTCAAATCGACCACTAAAGTCCTCACAACCACAGGTCATACTTGCAGACACAACCAACTGCATTATTTATGGTAACGTGCAATAAATCAGGGTAACGTGCAATAAATCCCTCTGGGTTAGTTCGGTTAGCATGATATAGTAAGGAAGGAAAAAAAATAGAAAATTCTAAAATTTTTTAACTGTTTAGTTAGCTTGAAAAGGAAAATTTTTAGAAAAATAATATTCTCACAAGTAGTCAATTTTCCTGAAAATGTTTCCTCCAAAAAAAACACCGAAAAATTCTAATTTTCCGTGAAAGTTGTATAATTATATTTTGATTCCTTATTATGCCCTTATTAATTGTTTATTCATTCGTCTCCTTCTTCATAAATATATTAGAATTCTGTTATTAGATTAAGATTCTTAAAATTACTTATTATGCCCTTATTAATTGTTTATTCATTCGTCTCCTTCTTCATAGATATATTAGAATTCTGTTATTAGATTAAGATTCTTAAAATTAGGACTCTTTTCCGCTCACAAAAGAAGTGAACTACTATAATGCAGTAGTAGAGTCCTAATATATATTGAAACCTTAAAATAAAAAATTAAAATTAAAAAAAATAAAAAAATATTCAATTACCAAATTTGTATTTGGACACACACACACATATATATATATATATATATATATATATATATATATATGCTATGTATATTATTTATATTAAATTAGTAAGGGTAGTTTTGGTATATAAAATCATTTTCTTTTCACTTTCCTGCTATCCAAACTCATGGAACAATATTTTCTCACAATTTTTTTAAAAAAAATTCATGCTAACCAAATGCATAATAGAAACTAAATTTTCTTTTCCTTTACTTCACTTTATTTTCCTGTCACTTTCCACCATCAAATTCCGGCTAACCAAACAGACCCTTATACTATCGGGCAATTGCACAAAACTCCCTTGAACTAAACATGACTCTCCTAAACTATTAAAAAGTTGCATTTAAGGACAAAATTAAAAGTCACGGTCATTAGAGTTAACCGGAAGTTGTTTAATTACTTTATTAGATGTTGTTGCTGATGTGTTAAAATTCAATCTCAATATTCAATAGGAATCTGCTAGCACATCACCACATATATATCACAAAAACTATCTAAGAACATCTCCAGTAGTCTGTTAAAAAACCCTTTTTGTGTAAAATATACACTACTACATATTATTAAGATATACTGTCACATCACCAATGTGTAAAAGAGTTGTGTATTTTACACAACACTTTTACACTGCTATGTAAGCATATTTTCTCTCTCCTCCCCCTTTCCCACGGTTCTCTTTCTTCTCTCTCATTCCTTTACGTCTATTTGTTCCCGCTTTTCTAGAGTGCAATAGAGAAGAATTTGTAACTGACAGTAAGGTAAGAACTACTCGACCATCTTTTATTTATTTATATATATATTTTAATAAACATAGTTTGATTCATCATTTTCGTTTGATCTTTATCTTCTGCAATCATAATGTAGATTATAGGATTTTTTTAGATTTGTTATCCTTTTACATTCTATTCTAATGACATAAATATGTACTAACCAAAGATTAGATATATATTTTAATCACGTAATTTCTACATACTTGAATCTTATTTTTATTATTTGTTATAAGTTTTCGGTGCGATGGCGTGAAAGGTTTGCTATTGGCGGGATGGGAAAGTGAAATATAAGGAAAAATTATTATTATTTTTCTAATTGAGGAGGATTGAGACGTGAGGTTTAATCGTACAAAAGTAAACTAAATAAAGTATGTTTGTAAAAATTATGTAAGATATTGGGTATGACACGTGATTGGTTGTTATTGGGGGATACTTTTTTACACAAAAGTTATAAAACAACCGCTGAAGCTAAAAAAAAATAGTTAGTATAAAATTTTTGTGTTAATCTACTCTGCCACATCAAATTCACACGCAAAAATTTAACATACAGCTGAAAATGCTCTAACACACTACTTCATGTTAGCAGCAAACACCTCCTTACGACTTTTTCTCTCTCTACTCTCTCCCTCTGTACGCTATCCTTATCCGGCGACGGATGAATCACCCACCAATCGCAACCTCCGTCAATTGAACCAGCCAACGACCATCACCGGCGACAACCGCCACCGACTCCGGATATTTTGATTGGAACCTGATTTGGCGAAGTAAAGCTCTGGATTTTGCCGAAGGTCCATCAATCAACCTACAACTCTCTCTATCTTATCTCTCCCCCGCAAAAATCCTAAATTTGGATTTCCACAACTGAGTTGTAAAACTCTTCGACGAGCAACCACGTCACAAACAAAACGCTGGCTGCGACACCAATTGGAGAACTTGAATTTGGAGAAGAATAGAATGGTGATCCGTGGTCTAGCTTCTTAAGAGGCCACCGGTCAACTATATGTATATATTGCGATAGTGACGTAGGCCATGAAAAGTGCCCTCTGTTGAATGGTGATGAGGGGAGGCGATATTGCGCCGGCTTCGGTGTTGGTGAAGAGAGAAAATTTGGAGACACGTCAAAGAAAGAAGCAAATAGCTGATTTTGAAAAATCTGGAAAAAGATTATTGATCTTGTGATCGAGGTGTAGATGCAGTCAATAGTATTTGAATTTTCTGAAGGGATCCATGAGATGGGTCTCAGGTCTGTGTAATTATATATATATATATACACACACACGTATCTATGACTTGTAAGACTGAAAAAGAATTGAAAAAGGGTTCAATTTTTTTTTTTTTTTGGCACTTTGACGTCCTATTAATTATATTCATACAAGTGTGTGGTGCACATATACATAAATATGCATAATTATTAATTATATTCATATGCATACGTGTGTGGTACACATATTTGCACAAACTGAGATCTCGCTTGGCTAGCCAAACACCATTATACTAAACAATAATTATTAATTAACACGAATATACAATAGTAAAACCCCATCCAAAAAGGTTCAACCATTAGGATATTAGTATATTATCACAACTTTCAATTACTGGTAGTAACACAAGTAAAGTTCACCAGAGAGATTAACTGATCAACTTATTTTTTTTGAATACTAGGAACTGCAACTTCATATTTTTGGTGATTGTAGTTATAATATATATATATTTTTCCGGTATCTAAAAGCAGAGCTAAATTCAAAATTTAACATTTTTCATATGAAATAAATTGGATAATTTTTTTTTTTCTTAAATGAAAATTAGATAGATTCATGACTCTTGTTACAAGTTAAAAGAACTTGGAAAAGAAAGAAAGAAAAACATAACATTATACTTTTTTAATTGATCCATACAAAAATTAGAGTATAGATTCAATAATTTTTTTTAAAAAAAAAAAAAAAAAAAAAAAAAAATAGAGAAAGAGAGAAAAGTAGTAGTAGGAGGAGGAGAACTTCCTCCAGGCGACCGCCTTCCTTTGAAACTGGAGATCTCCCAAACATAACATATATATATATATTTTCCCTCCATAAATATAGCATATGTTTTTATTGCTTACATACTTTCACAAATTAACGCATTCAAAATCTATATTGCTCTGTTTATCGAAGACTTTGTTTGGCTCATGAGTCATAGACATTGTGAAGAAAATGAAATGACAATTTTAAGGGTTGTTGGGCGTTGCTGTGTACAGTGAAAAAAAAAAAATCAGTATAGTTGTCAATGTTGATGGTAAAAAGCAGGGGTGGGCATAATATTCATAAATCTGTGAATTCAATTAGTGCAGATCAAATTGGATTGCCACACCCATAGACCGGCAGTGGATTCAAAAAAATTAAATCTACAATTCACTTGTTAAAAATCCAATCCAATGCGTGAGATATATACACATATATATATATATATATTCATATTCGAATAATGTATTAGTTAATTTAATTAGTTGATAATCATTTAATGAACTTTAAGAATGTATTAATTAATGATCATTTAAATAAATGAATTAATGTTGATAAATTGAAATTTTATCAACTGGGTTATGATTAAGAAATAAATAATATTAGACTATTTAAGAAAAACCCCAATCCGCAAACCTACTCCCATCCGCGAGATAATGGATCAATGGCGGATTCAAAAAAAAAATTTCAGTCCGTGGCCACCCCAAGTAAAAAGGCATCTTAGGTGATTAGTAATACTAATACATCACATAAAACACTTTCCACAATTGAAGTAATTTTAAATCAATATTATTGAATTTGAATTTGATCATCTTTTAAATATTTAATTTCAATTCTAATTAAGTGGGAAATTTTATAAATATTTTTTCATTTTCATTTTATTATTTCACTGAATTTTTAACTAAATTAATAATTGCAGAAATTTCCCAGGACACTGGAAGTATACAACTAAAAGAAGGGAATACAAATCAATACAGCAAGGCAGGTGGGTGGAAGATTCTAATTGTCCCATAGAAATTTGCAATACTGGAATTTACATTAGCACATTACTCAGTGCTCCCAGATCTTATGAAGACAAATGCTTTCGAACTGCATTGGCGGATTGATGAGCAAAATATTTTTGCTTTGCAAGTACATAAGGATATCCAATAAGCGACAGAAAGTGAGCCGGCTTGGAAAAGGAAAAAATTTCATACCAGACACGGTTGTTCTCATCCAGCTCAATCGCAAAGCGTTCTTCCCCGGCCTGTTTTTCAGCAAAATTAAATGCCATATCAGTATGGTTCAATGTCTACCTCTTATAGATAAACACCACATATTAGAATTTAGAAGTGTGATCAAAAGAACTAAAGAAACTGAGGTGAAAGTGGTTTTGAGTTTCCCCACAACAATTCATCAATTAAGCATTTAATAAGATAGTAGTCGATGGTCTAAATGCATATGCTATCTAAAAACTAAAGAAATAAGGAACATGCTTATGTTTTCCAATATTTAATTTTAAGGTTTATATCTATTGTTCAAGTCCATATTAAAATTTTTGGATTCATGATAGCTCAGCTATGGCATGACACAATTAAAGTAGTTGTTGGCAGCTAGATTAGCTTGCCTCTGACAAATTGATAAAAAAGGACAACATAATCGACCAATGAAAACAAGTTAATTATCGCTATGCCATTAGAATGCGGTGTCATGCTAAGGACCTTGGACAACTTTTTGTTTTGGTATATTCTTTTTTTAAAAGGTAGGAGGATTATATAATTGCTGAACCTATTTGACCACGTATAATAAATCCGGCCACCCCTCCCAAAAGAAGGAACTCGTAGGTCCTTGGTGAGACTTACCTTAGTTACCTAGCCCGCTAAAGACTTGACCAACTGTCGAGAAAATAAGGATCAAAAGGTAATGATAATTGTCCCACAACAGTTTTCAATGTTAGCAAATTACATAATATGGTGAATGTAGTAGTTCACTATACACAATATTACTAATATTTGTCTTCAAATTCCCACTACTACTTCAATTGAGTTTCGGCATTTTGGTTACATGCATTTCAGAGGCTCATTCTCTTGGGTGATTATATTTTCCCCATCTAAACGAACAGGTACAGTAAAACATGGAAGGAGACAATTCCAGAAAATCAAGCTGCAAACCTAAAGAAATCTCTCTCAATACCATTGAAGTAAGAATGGAAACTACATATTATCATAATTTTTTGCAAACAAGCCTTATTTCATTAAGATTTTTATAAGCTGATTAAATAGTAAAGCTTGACTGCAGAACAATTAATATGTGATGAAGTTGAAAATATCATGAGAAAATTTCACTTCTCAAACTTCTCAGTAACTCATTGATAAAGATTTCTTAATACACATCTTTATTCATGATTCATAACTCTCTCTCTCTCAGCAATTGTTCTTTTTTCTAATTATTGCCAGAATTCAAGGAGATACAAGAAAACTATTAATTCTATGTTTTCATTTTTTAAGGACAAGATGACAGAAATGGAAGTCATAACAGAATTCACAGCTGAAGTTAGACAGTTGCTGCAAACCTTAAATGTAAATCTCACTTAATGTACTCTATCATGCTGCCTGAAATAAAAATAAAAATAAAAAAGAAACGAACAATAATTGAGTTTAAAAATTGCAACAAAATTAGTGGGTTTTCTAGTCATGCAACAAAATTATTAATTTATGTTTTCAGAACCACGAAAACAGAAATATGTATATCAAATAAAAAATACAAAAATCTTAGTTATTTGTAGTGAAATATGATTACACCTAACGAAGAGGCACTAACCAGTAGGTGTCCTTGAAGGGTGCCACTGCCAAAGCTGAAAGAGGCCACAGCATTTTTAGTGTTTCTGTTTTCGTTTACATACACCATTTGTAGAGGCATCATGAGCCAGGGAAAAAATTCCTTAACACAAACACAGAACTTCTCCCCACTTTGAATTGGAGTCTTGGGATCAACAAATGTCCAATTAAATCCAAAATGCCTGAAAATTGAAGATGCAAAATTACGACCCCCCTCTTGACTAGAACTGACTAATATATATAAGACATAAATATTCAAGCATACAAACACATGCAGGAATGAGGACACATAAACACAAACCTCCAAGACTGAAGAGCGCTCTTGCCCTTCTCATAGGTCTCAAGACCCGAACCCACCAAAATGCGAGCATGGTTGCTTAAGAAACCATCTTTTGAGAGCTCCCCATCTTCTTGAAGGGAAGACAATTGCTTAGCGGTAGTTCCTCTATATTTACTGTCATAGTTAAAGGCACCAGACCTGTGACGTGTTGACCATAGAACGATAAACATATATGCAACAATGGATTTTGTTCCATAAAATGAAATTAGTAGTTGAAGTGATTTCATTTTACTTCTCAATGCAAGCCTTTTGTTCTTGAGGAGACGGGCGATTCCAGCTTAAGAAAACCATCTAAGCAACAACATTGTAAATTATCAATGACTCCCATGTAAATAATTGAACATTCTAATTGGAGCTAAAATGAGAGATAGTCAACTAAGATGGTTCGCACATGTGAAAGGAAGAACACTAAATCTGCCAATTAGGAGGAGTGACATGATTCACATGTAGGTAATGCTAGGGGAAAGGAAAGACTAAAGTTAATGTGGGTAAAGTTCATGAGGAAAAATATGGAGATTTGACAGAGACTGTGACCTTAGATATAGCAAAATGAAAATACATGATTCATGCCACCGAATCAAATTAGTTGGGAAAAAAGCTTTGTTGATTAGAGTATGGTACCGTCGTATAATGAACAACCTAATTGTTATTTGTATAATAAGTTCAGCCTATAGTTAATTGAAGCACTTAATAAATACCAATGTTAGCAATTCCTATATGAGGGTAAGTCTAAAGAAACTTTGCTTAAATGAATATGCAACTTAGTGACTGAATTCAACCATTTCAGGCATTGATCATTGCATTGTACTGGGTAATTTTAGTATCAGGCAAGGCATATTAAATCTAATATAACTCCACTATTTTCAGATTGATGGCAATAAACGTGTGTGTGTGTGTATATAGTCTATAGAGAGATGAACATATTTTATACTAAATTTTCACACTCAAATAGAAATAAATGATATAAACACACATATAAATAAGAAAAACCCAGAAATTGCAGATGTAATCTGAGGAAGGAAATTAGTTGAATTGAACAGTCAGAGCATACTGAACATATAAACTATTTCAGCTGTGAATTGTTATATGCGATCCGAAAAAAATAAGATATTGAGAGAGAATTTACCTGTAAAATGACCGAATGAAGTGCTCCGATTTGTGGGTTTGAGTAAGTTGATCGGTAGATTTTAGAGATATTTTGAGGAAAATGGGATGATTTTGGGCTCTTGTTTTTAGTTCAGGGTAGATTTGTTCGTGAGGATATTGGGTGGTTGGTCTACGAAGACGAGCCGAACCCAGACTTTGGATCCGAATTACAGAGAGCTCTCCTACTATTGATTGAGCAGTATGTGACTAGTTGTTGTTGCATAAAATTCGAAAATGCCCTTGCTAGTTTCAAAAATTACCTCTTGACTAGTTACAACTTCCATCTACAAAGCACGAACACTGCTGGGGAGTTTTTTTATTCATGTAGTGTCTGCGTCGGACACTTAGGCTTCGTTTGGATACACAGGAGAGAAAAAAATAAAGAAAAAATTATAAGAGAAGAGAAAAGAAATGATGATATAATAATATCTATGTTCGAATTGATATGAGAGAAAAGAAAGGAATTTGTAATATTCTTGTTTGGATAGATAGAAAAGAAAATAAATGAATGAATAATTTACCATTTTACCCTTCTCTGAACCAAACTTGCCCCTTCTCTCAAGGTTACTTTTGTAATTTGCTCCATTTCTTTCCAAATCTAGTCAATTTTGGAGTGATTTTAAATAAGGAATTTGAAGGGATTGCTATCCCTCAAAATCTCTCAAAATCTTTTCTTTTCTCTCCTAAGATTTGGAGATATTTGGAGGGATAGAAATCCCTCATTTGGAATCTCTCTAAAATTGACAAGATTTGGAGGGATTTGGAGAAAAATGGAGCAAATTTACAGAAGGGGCAAGATAGTTGAGAGACAGCCGGCTGAAGTTGTGAACGGCGACCGAACTGGAACAACAAGAAACTGATTGATATGGGTTTTAATTTTTTTAATTGTTTCGACTATTCCCCGGCTTAGTTTCGGATCTTTTTCATTTCTCAGATGGATCACCCAGATGTCTCGTAGTGTTGCTTTGACCCATTTCCTCAGCGTTGTTCCGGCCCATTTCGCCGGCGTTGTTCTGGCCTTTTGGATATTTTTCGCTCCGCCAACGTTTTTAAGATTTCATCTCCAAACTAATCTTGAGTTTGCGGGAGAATATTGAAATATATATTATATATATGTATAATATATTATTATACATATATACTCCCTCCGTTCCATAATAATTGTTCATCTTTCCTTTTTGGATTGTCCCAAAATACTTGTCCACTTACCAAGTTAAGATAACATATTTTATATCTTACTATAAAATACCCTTTTTTTTTATTTTTTTTATTTTAAATCAAACTTGATTATATATATGCGTGTGTATGTGTGTAAACTCGATAGGGTAGCTTTATAATTTTTGAAGGGACAATTACATATCCCCTTTAAAAGTTTTACTTCCCAAAATGGACATCTAATATGGGACAGAGGGAGTATCATATTCGTTTTCTTTTTTTTCCACCTTGATTTATTCATTTTGTTTTCATTTTTTCCTCATTGATTTATTTCTTTTGTTTTCCTTCTTTCCTCATATGTATATATATTATATTTTGTTTCCTATCAATATAATGTAAACATATCAAGAAATACAAGGAATAAGAGAAATGTATACTCGGTGGCTCTTGATCCATGGATGTTGGCCTCAATGCCGAACCATGTATATGTTTTGTTTTCTATCTTTCTTTTTTCTATCTTCTTATTTTACATCTTATACTTTCATATCCTTAATTTAACAATTTTTAAAGGGAAATTGTGGTTACTCTGTGTATCACAAAGGAAAGTTGTTTGCTGAGGAGATTGTAGCATCAATTCCTGATAGTGAAAGTAATTGTCAATGTAAGTATTTAGGCCCCGTTTGGGAAGTGTAGTGTGATGTAGTGTACTGCTCTAACTTAGAATAGAACAAGTGTTTTGTAGTTTGATATTCTGGAATGAGAACAAAACATGTTTGGTGTTCCAAGTTTGCTTTACCGAATCATGGAACAAAAATATGGTAGAACATGTTTGGTAATGTATCTTGTTCTAAGAAATATGAGAACAAAACATGTTTGGTGTTCCAAAGTGTAACCAAAATTAATTTGATAAATAAAATAATTAAATATGTTGGATTAAAAATGTTTTTAATTAATATTTTCTTCAATACATTTTTTCTAATATAAAGTTACAAAAAATGATTGTATTACGCCGGACATATTGTTCCTCCATTTATATTAATTTATTATAATAACCATATAAATAAATTAAAAAATCCAAATATGGAACTGAAATAAAGTTTTAAAAGATCATAGTTTCATGAATTTTAATATATTACATATATGAGTATAAATAATATTACAACATTCGCCAACAGTTACAATAAAAGTTCATGAAATAAAATTAAACTTTCAATACAACATCATTTCTCAACAGCGACAATAATAAACAACAACAACATGAGCAAAAACAACAAGAATATAGTTATAGTAAGACAACAAGAACATCCATAGATAATGTAATTTTGCCGCTTTTGTTGAGCTTGCATAACAGCAACTACATCCTCCAATTCTTCCTGCACATGACCGCCCACTTGAGAGCTATGGTGCATGTCATCCAACCATATAAATGCACGATCATGTGACTAAATTAGAAAAAAGAGTTGTACATTATCAGAATGCACCTGTAACACTAAGATGTATTTAAAATATTCACAATACAGCCCATACCAAACAACCAAGTTTGCTCAATAGTGCCCATTTGCACTGTAGGGAAGGGCATAGAAGAAGATGGAACATGCCCCAAACAGGCCCTTAGTCACAAGTTTTCTGGAAATCTGATGGAGCGGATTTAAGTATATGGCCGCCAGCAGTTGGAGTGTATTTAATTATGTGAACCAGATGAAGTGGTAGAAACGAAAGAGAGGGGAAGGGGAAATCTGGAAGGAGGGAAGGGAGACCAAGAAAACGTCTCAGAAAAATTGTGAGGAGTGACGTGGCAAAGCCACATTGGAGAACTGCGTATCATCGCTATTGTTTGAAATTTATTGTTTAAATAAAAATATTTTTAAAAATACTTTAACTAATTTCTTAATTTTTGTTTAGTATAATAAAATTTTAACTGTAATTATTTTAGAAAATGATAGTTACAAATAATATAATTAATATTTAGTTAAGAGAAAAGATAATTAATATTTAGATAACGGAAAAGATAATAAAAATACTTTAATAAGAATTATGAAATATAGGGTAAAATAATCTTTTGTGAAGAATTTGTTCTTAATTACAACAAATCAATAGTTAAGACGCAATTTTTAATTTTGCACTTTACCTTGTAGTTGTACTAAAGGATAATACTTGATAAAGGTTGGCATCCAAGACTAAGCTGCCTCTCTCTCTATGAATATTTATGACGAATTGTCGAGAGAAATTTAAGTTGAAAAAAAAAAAGAAAAAATAATATATATAAAAATTGTGTCTAATTTTATAAGTTCTTTCTTATTTCCTTTGCCTCTATGATTAATTAAAAAAAAATATATTTTTTAGAAAAGCAAATAGCATGCCCACACAATCTGCTTAGTGGCCCTTAGCGTTTCACTTTAAAAAATTAAAGAGATTTGTTTGAGCTAGTAGAAAAATATGTAACCCTTTATGAGTATAAGTTTGAAGGTAATTATTCAGAAATTGTGTAATAATTTTTTTTTTTTTTAAAGAAATTTTTGCAAGTTGTCCACCCATAATAGAAAAATAATATAAAACATTTTTTTCTCCCTTTCAAATTTTAGCGCTTTTTTTTTTTTTTTTTTGATAAAGTATAGTCACACCTCCTGAGGTTTAACAAAAGGACACTCACTTACCTGTTTTTTTGGACAAAGACACCCCCTAAAGGTTCAAAAATAGACAAAGACACTCTTTTACATAAAAAATTGACCAAATTACCCTTTGACCATTTAAAAGACTTTTTAACTTTACAATTTAATAAATTTGACCAATCTACCCTCATAAATAATTTATGCATAAAAAAAAGTAAAAAAAAAAAAACTTTATATTGTTCACTTTTTTTTTTTTTTTTTGTTATTTACTTTATAAATGTCCTAACTTCTTAAAAATGTAGACATCTAAAATGATTTTTTGATTCAATACATATATTTCAAATAAATTATATTTTGTTATTACTTCTTTTCTTTTTCTTTTTTATTTTTAAATTAAGATGCTTAATTCTTTCATCTAAAAAAATTAAACCAATCTCTTTTCCTTAAAAATAAAAAATATGGTACCAGTATAACTTTATGCATCTTAAATTATATATCAAATATTATGCATTTCCCAACATAAAAAGAAAATAGGTACCATCTTAACTTTATGCATACCTTTTCTTTTTATGTTGAGAAATGCATAATATTTGATATATAATTTAAGATGCATAAAGTTATATTGGTACCATATTTTTTATTTTTAAGGAAAAGAGATTGGTTTAATTTTTTTAGATGAAACAATTAAACATCTTAATTTAAAAAATAAAAAAGAAAAAGAAAATAAGTAATAACAAAATATAATTTATTTGAAATATATGTATTGGATCAAAAAATTATTTTAGACGTCTACATTTTTAAGAAGTTGGGACATTTATAAAGTAAATAACAAAAAAAAAAAAAAAAGTGAACAATATAAAGTTTTTATTTTTTACTTTTTTTTTTTTTTATGCATAAATTGTTCATAAGGGTAGATTGGTTCAATTTATTAAATTGTAGAGTTAAAAAAGTCTCCTAAACGGTTAAAGGTTAATTTAGTCAATTTATCATGTAAAGGGGCGTCTTTGTCCATCTTTGAACCTTCAGGGGGTGTCTTTGTCCAAAAAATAAATAAGTTTCCTCTGAGTGTTCTTTTGCCAAACCTCAGGAGGTGTGACTGAACTTTAATCTTTTTTTTTTTTTTTTTTTTTTTTTTTTTGTGTGAAAAAAATGCAATGTTCCTGTTTTTTTTTTTTTTTACCATTTAAATGAAGTGTAATTTACACAAAACTTTCTTATAGTTTGACATAATTATACGGATCTTCCCTAATAATAAATATATTCTAGATGAGCATCTCTTATGTGGGACGGATAGTCAAATACATTAACAGATCTATCAAAATTACTGAAATACTCTCACGCTGTTATCTTAAAATAT